CAGTCTGACTGCAGTAGAACCGCAGTTCAGCGCAGCAAAAGCGCAGTAGAACTATAGCGTGAAAATTTCATTTTTTATTCAGTTTGAGAAAAATACACTGTAAATAAATCCTGTAAATAGAAGGTAGAGCATGAAAAAGGAAGGTGACCCAAGGAGTATAAAAGGGAGACCCTTTCTGCGACTTTTCACCCCCTTAGAGAAGTAAGAAAATAGAGTATTATTTTTCTCAAGCATTTCTGGTTGTCACTCCAGTGCGAAAAAGTGATATACAGGCAAAATTGCCACTTGTCATATCTGTGCATACCCGATCCCGACCCGACTTCCGGACCTCCTCCTCCTCCACCTTCCGGAGTCTTATCCTACTGCTGTCCGTTCCGATACTCACCTTCGGTCCTGGCAACACACCTCCTTCTACCTCCCATGCGACCTCCGCTCCTCCTTCACTCTCCTCCCCTATCTCCATCCGCTCCGATACTCACCTCGGACCGAACACCGCCCCTCTTGCCACCCTCCTACTACTCCCCCTCCTACTCCTCCGCTCCTCCTTCACAACACCCCCACCCTTCCGTCACCCTCCTACGCTTCCCCCATCCGCTCCGATACTCACCTTCGGACCTGACAACTCTCCTTTCCGCCACTCCTTCTCTCTTCCCTTTCTCCTCTCTCTACCCCCTGGTACTCTTCCGCCGACCCCCGCCAAGTTACGACCTTCCTCTGCTTTCCCGTACTTTGTACTCGGGCAACCGCTCGTACCTTTGCTCTGAGCCTCCGTCATAGTCCCTACCTTGGACTTTGACTCCACCTTGGTCTTAGTCCATTGCATTGGTGACCTCATACTACGTAAACACCATTGCCAATATTCCTCGGACTTTCAACCCCGCCCCCATAACCTCCGTAAGCTCCGCAACCTCCGAGCTTCGCGGATCGCCTTCAGCACTTTTGCTGCCTGTAATGTATCTCTCGTGTTTTCCCCTCATCCCTATTTGGACTACTGCTTCTTCCCATTCCAGCCAGTTAGTCATCATCCCCACTTCTCCTCATCCTCCTGCCCCTCTGGGCCTCACCCTCCCTACCTCCTTTCGGACGTATCACAGGTCCTGCCTTATGACCTTCGGTACCGCTCCGCTTCTTCTACCCTTTGTTCCCGTTCAGACATCTTCGCTCCGATTCGGTTCCCCTTTGTTTCCTTGTGCTTTTGCCCCCTCCATTATATATATCGGCACTTGTACATACTCATTTTGGCTCAGTCTGAAATCGACCTGAAATGCCCCCTAGAGACTTCCTGCTCGCCTACTGTGAAATTAAGGACCAAATGGACAAACAGCAATGGCACAGCGCTCTGCTTGAGTCGCTGAGGCCAAGGTCCCTCCACGCTAAGTCTCCGATTCCACTCCAGAGTCGTCTGTATCCGCCCGTTCTAACACCACTGTAATAAAAGGCAGCAATTAAGGAGAGAAATATTAAGTAAATATTTCAACAGGAGAGCTGGTTAACACTCCAGATTTCAAAGTGTAAACACAAAACAGTTATCTTGCTACTGTTAAAACAAGCAATAAAATAAGACAAAAATAAAACAAACCCAAGGGACACTCCAGACACAATCCAAATCCATTAACTGAATAGAATCTTTGAAACTTCACCAAGTAGAGGATTTAATTCAAGTTAAATTCCAAATTAAACAACACTCCTTGCTGAGTCACTGAGGCTGCAGCCCTCTGAACACTGAGGTTCTTGCTCATCCCAAATCCGGTCTTTGACAATCTCCACGGTTGGGTTGGGTGGAACAACCACATGTGTTAATACTAAAAATCATATTCCACAGCCTATGTGCAATTCATTACAACTTAGCATGGGAACATCATGTGTTGCAAGTTGTACCAGTTGCTTGACAGATTTTGGAGGCAACATAAGTTGTGGCTAAACCTTGGAGAAATCATGTGAGTGACTGGGAAGGAGTCTGTTGTTGACCCAGAAAATTAATACAGTGGATATTCAAACATGTCAAATGTGGATTTTTCCAGCACATGAAATCTGGAAAGTATCTGACCATGGATATTCCTGCAGGTAAGAGACATGGATATCCCAACACGGATTTAACACAATACTGCCAAAGTCTCGTATCCGACCTAGGATATCACCTCGGATATTTTGCCTCAGGACACAGTGAGTGAGACAATTGTTTATTCATCAAATGAGAGAAAGCGGTAAACAACACATAAGCAAAAGTGGCACATTTTACATAATTATGAGTGACCTGCAGTGCAGGTAACCGTGAAAATCACATAAGTAAAATACTGTGATTTAGAAAAAACTTAGGCTGCATGGTGTTATTTACCGTACCGCGATTAACTTCCCGCTGTGTAACACCCCATAATGCCTAGTCACATCCGGCAAAATTCCCATAACACCTCGTAACACGCAGCAAAATCCCGTAACGCCATCGTAACGCATTACAACGAAATTCCAGTTTTCCGACACATTCTGAGCTATTCACGTGCCAGCGGTTTCCGCCCCTCAATGGTTATTTTGTGCATAATATCCTTATTCCACAGCAGTGTTTCCTTATTTTTTTCCACCCTTATACACTGGCTATAACTATGCAAAATTGGGCTGAATCCCAGGAAAGGAATACCGCGATGCTATAACTGCGGGAAACCTGGATACATGCGTGATTGCCCTAATCCAAAGCCCGAGAAGCATGAGTCTACAGCAGAAAACCTAGAAGGGCAAGAGAATTACCAGAATTTGTCGAAGACCCGCACGACACCATTCGCACGACCCGAAACGATAGAATAGGAGGGAGAGACCCCACCTATTTCAAACCCATAACACTCATCGACCCCGAAGACAAGAACTTCCACAGCAAGACAACTGAACAAACTATTCATCGACGAGCAAATCGCAGCAGAACTGGTCGAAGAGCCAGTTCAAAGCCTTCGAGAGAGACGGAGTCTCCCCGACCTGAAAGAGGGAAGGGAGCGAAGAGCAAGGCCCCCAGGACGTCAATTCCTGGGGAAACCATGCGAAGTTTCGCATTTCGTGAGAAGCTGGAAAATACCCTGAGGATCGACCATCGGCACTCAGGCGCATACTCACCAGAGAAGTAGAAATCGTCAGTGTAAAAGCCTTCGTATTGTTCACCAGTGGAGCGAAAACGGACGTGATCTCTCCGGACTTCGTCCACGCCATGCACACAATCCCCTCCTCGGACTTCCAAACCCGCTCATTCCCCAGACGGGAGCGAAGAACAATCGATCGTGCATCATGTATGGCTGTTGCGGTTACGACGCAATATTGGGAGTACCTACGCTTGACGACCGAGCGAAGAATCCTCTCCATAGGAGCACGGGCCTGTGGAAGGGCCAAACCTCCGCGCCTACCAAGAGGCATGGACGCAAGGCAGGGGAGAAGGCAGCACCTTCGCCCCAGGATGACACACGGTCAGACACTGCGCAACAAACAAACAGCCCCAATAAGACTGGGCACGCACTTCCCGTAAGTGGCAGTGCCGAAAACCAACCGCTAAGCGACAACAATACGCTAACATGGAAACCAGATGCATCCCTGGTGCAACAATAATTCCTCTCATGACTCTGAGATCCTAAGCACATAGCCTTAATGGTTGACATTACAATAAACACTGTATGCGACATACCGCATCAATCTATAACATTGAGCATAATATCAACTTTCAAGTACATTAATGATACGATGAGAAGGTACAAATATCGACTGTGATGTGCATGTGGGCGTGGTCAGGGCGGGAAACGTCGGTCTATATCTCCTGCAAATGGGGTGTCCGGTGGCCGAACAGTGATTGGTGACCACTCACTCGCTCACTCACCAGTGGAACCTAGCACGAAATTTCCTCTGGACACGCCTCGTTCCTGTTCAACAATAGAGCCAGCCATGCCAACTCCCACGCCATGCCCTGCCCTGCCCATCCCTAATCGCACGGTTGACATGGAACAAATTGCCCGTGGAAATATTGGCATTGTCGATGGAGACGAAGCCCAATATTGGGATTTGATTCGGAAGGTTTGACAGAAAAATAGACTATGTGATGACCGAGCTGCTGATGGCAAGGATGAAAATAAGTCCTTCAATGTAATGAATATGTGCATTTGGTGGTCTCAACTCAACTGCAATATTGATCGCACCTGTGTGCTATATACCTCCATGATCACATCATATCAGCGATATCAATGACCCACCAGCGAAACACTTGTATGCAAGAAATATTGAGTTATATTTCATTCCTCAAAGATATCGCTATATATAGCCTCTGAAAGGAGCCCTGCTGGCTGTCTCTCCATTTTCTACGCATTCCTCTCCACACCGAGGTGAGAACTACTTGATTCACGTGGAATACATAGCTACTCACGCCACGTACATTAGCCGCCAGCACAATAGTAGCGTCAAAAGTCTCGATGCGATTCTGGAATGCCTTGGTCCCAATGGGTCTACTACTTCCCATCGTTGCAGCTGGATTCCATGGTGGAATAATGACTCAGGTGTCGCCCCCCAATGGCAACGGTTGGGCTAGCATATTTTGGGCTGCAGTCCCATCGGGGCATGGTGAGCCGAAGCTAGAAATGAAATTCGCCCCTGTTTAACTGATGTTTTACCCAACAGACATTTGTGACACGAATAACAATGAAATAAACAAATATGCCTCCAACCCCGTAGCCCTCGGGTACCCACTGAAGTTTCAGATTTGCAATACTACGGTTACGGTTTCCTATGACCTTAACCACTGGACCACCGACCAAGGTAACGGAGACTGTTTCCGAATTGGTCCTGATCCACTCCTCAATGCGGGTAATTGCACGGATTCCTCCCAGGCCCAGGTGTGGTATGATAAGTTCTTTTGCGACTCCCACGTGTGCGCATAAAGGCCACAAGCAGAGCTGGCATGCAGTGACCACTGCAGGAGTCGGGGAGCTTGGTCAGGGGGCTAGCTGTATGATGATTGACTGTCTAAGCCGACAATTACATTCGAAATGATCATTACTGTGTTCAAAATTCAGAAATTGGTTGGCCGAGGCACTCGAGCGGCATACACCCAATACTCCGACCAGGCCTTGTCGCCATCCCAGCATCCATCGTGGCTGTAAGACAGTGATCTGTCAGCAGCCATTATGGGGACGGAGTGCGCGGCACTAAGATGCGAGGTGGAGCTATTGGGTTACTCGGGAAAATCTTGGAGTTATTGACCGAGTGACGAATTTGAGTTGATGAAACTATTCCACCACGAGGCTTGTGGAGCACTACTTGGCCTTGATCTTCGCGACGAGAGAAATATTTGGGGCGACCAGGCTCCCCCTCTGAGTATATGAAGACCGAATCAGGAGAACGGAAAAGTCGGGACGGTTCCTCGGAGTGTTTGGAATGAATATCGTACGTCGGTGGAGGCGAAGAAAGCTCGTCAGGCTCAGAGAAAGAGCTCGAGTCTGATTGAGATAGGACAGCAATTGGGGGGCTGAGAGAATGTCCGCACTCGACAGGGACGGTTTGGCAAAATACGTGGACCCTTGATAATGTACCGCTGTCTTCCACCTGGTCCAGTTCCACCAAGATGCGTAAGCGGTACATTGTTAGACAACATGGGTATTTGGTGAGAATCAACCGAGTTTGCGGGTTGATTATTCTCAGAGGACAAGAATCGATTGCTACAACATTCAGCATTCAAGCGATAGGATGATCTATAGACCTTTGAGATTTCAATCAAGGGCGAGAGTTGAACTCCAATGACGTGAATGAGGAGCGAAAACGGGTGGGACGTTGAAAGCGGGTTAGAGGCGGAACCTTCAAAACTTTGGTCCGAGATGCTGAGGATCAAAGCTCAAGTGCACAATGCTATTGAATTGTACATCGAGGGCTATTCGTTTTCCCCTCCTCTTCCCGGTAAAATTGTTAGCATCGTGCTGAAGGCGACAAACTAATGAGACGCTTTCTTGTCCCTTCACGGGCTAGCACACCTGGGGATGTTCTTACGCCATCGCACAGGTTCGGGGCTGACAAAGCCCCCCTAGTACGGCATCTATCTAGGCTACGGACAGTTTTTCCCCTGAGCCCATCGACCGGCACGCCGGAGAGGTGATCCGAGTGAACGTGCAGGAACTGAATGGTGAGGAGATTGTGGTTTGGCGATCGATTGGAGCAACAGGAATATCACCTCACAAATAGGCCTGAAACACAGAATAGGTCGTCGTCGTCGTTTCATGTTTATTACAGTCCTTATGTTTGCACACTAGTATACTTTAGCAGTTGGGTTTGCGACTGAAACACATAACGAACAAGGGGTTCCCTGAGCAAGCTGTGACCGGTCGAGTCCCGCGTACAGCAGCCCAACATGTGCGAATAAACTGTTTCTGGAGTGTAAGTTCCCGCGAGCTCTATCGTAGAGACTCTCCCACACACCACGGAATATAGTTCTTCCTTTGGCAAGGCCTCTGTTAGATAGACTTCCGTTGGGGTTCAGCAGATCTATCCTTTATCCAGCAGAGGTATAACAAAACCGTGACGATACTGATCATGCGATCGCTCAGGTTTGTGAAAGCCACCTTGGACAACCACTCCGTGGGCCTTTATGTTGGAGGAACCGTGTGCTATGGGAGGCCGGACGAGTTTCCGTACAGCCACATTCCCACATCCGAGCGAGGAACTCGCCCGGACAGCCACATTCCCGCGGTAGCGTGACTACTTGGTCACAACACCTTTTTCTTCTTATCTATTTTAGTCACTTCGGACTTATCCGCGAGGTCCACAAACTTTATTCATTCATTTGGATTAGTTTCCTTTTTCCCTCAGTTCTCGCGCATTAGCTTGAGACTGAGGTTAGTTACAATATTCTTTTACTCTGATTTCTTATACATTGTAACTCATTGTATATTACCTTATAGCTTTAGCATTAGGTAATATTACAGTTCTCACGCATTAGCTTGAGACTGAGCTTTAGCATTAGAGCAAGCGATTATTCTGTTACTTTATAGGGGGGACCTCAGGACATTTGCATGGGGCCTTAAAGGCCTTTTTCACTAGTAACGTCCTAGGACGTCCTGGCCATTTATTTTTAATTCATTTCTGGAGGTAACCTTACAGACCAACCAGAATGTCCTAGGACGTCCTAGGACATCCTCACAACTTAGGCAAGTGCTGGCAGTTGCACAGTTTACATACATATCAGAGTTGGGGACGTTGAGCGTGCACTTCCTAGATAGGAAGCATCAGGCTGTTTAGGTCGGAGGTAACAACTGGAATATTCATGTCTATGTACAAAGTATGCATAAAGCATATGGATGATGCAGGTATATACAAGTTATGCAAAATGAGCGGGTATATACAATCATGCAATGTGGTTTGTGAAGAGTATGTGAAGAAATTAGGATGCAAGACATGCGAAGAGTACGTTAAGAAATTAGCATGTGCAAAATGATTATGAAGAGTACGTTGAGAAATGAGGAATGGAGTATAACTACAACGAATAACAACAGTGCCTCATAACCAAGATTGACCGTGATTGAGGGTCCAGTTCGAATGGGAGGCAGAGGGGGCAGATGGCCCAGTACACAAACCAGAAGCATCGGGGAAACTCGGTGCAGAGGGATCACCAAGATTTGTGAGGGCGGTATCAAAGAGCCTGTCTGCTCATGGAACCCCACAGGGAACGATGTAGATGGATTTTGTAACAGTAGGTTGGGAGTGAAGAGCTCTGGACCAAAGGAGGCCGAAGCTTGCTGCAGCATCGTTGAAGTCTTAGGGTTGTAGGTGACCATCCCCTGGCCAAAAGATGTTGCAGGGTGCTGAGGCTCCATCAAAACCCCAGGGCAAGCGAAGGTCCCACATCCAAAGGGGAATGGAGTCTGCTGGGACACCATTGGAGTCCCGGCCACCCCTACAGCCCTGGCAAGACCAGTGTTGCCGATGGTGGGGATGTGTGAAGATGAGGGGGATTGGGGAATCGTGGTCTGAACCATCATCGAGTCTGATAGCCTGGTGTGGATGCGATAAAGGATGGGTAACACACTCCTTCGCATTGGGAACACCAAATGGATCCTGACTTTCATCTGAATCATCACCAGATGCGATGATCGACTGGGACCTGGAGGCTTGCTTCGCCCGTTTCTTTTGGCACACACTAGGTGGCCCCATGGAACTCTGCTTCCTTGGTCTGGGGGATGATGGGGCAGAAGGGGTCACTTTGCTCGTGGCACTTGTGCCTCGAACCTCGGACTTGATCGCACCTGCGTGGGTCCACATCATATCTCTAGCCTGAGCAACAGAGACCACTGCGCAGCCAGATGTGCTGGAGATGACTGAGTCTTCATCGGCTTTCCATTTTCGCATTTCGACTTGGGGCCTCTGGTCAGGGGGAAGCTTCAATGTCTTCCGCCAAAGGTTCCTCCAAGTATTGTCACTCAGATCTTTGATGGACTGCGACTTGAAAAGCGAATAATAGTCGAATTCCGCATCATCCGGCCACTGGGTGAGGCAGTAGCCAGCATCGAGAAGCCTTTTCGGAAGCATGCCCCAGGGAAACTGCCCCTTCAAGGGATTATTGCCCACAACAGAGGCAGGCAGTCGGTTGGCAAGATGGGCCCATAAGGCAGCCCTACAGTCATCACGAAAACAGGGTGTTTGGGGCAGAACAAACTCCCCATCGACATTTTTCCCATCACGTTGTGCGACGAATGTCCGAATTTTGTCAACAAGAATGGTGTTGGATTTACAGATGGATTGGAACCAAGCCTCCATTGCTGCCGTGTTCGTCGACACACCATTGTGCTTCTGCATGGCAGGATGGTCCGTGGCTGAGACCATAACAATTGCCATGTGGATCCCACATAACGCAGCCCAGGTCATATCCTTCTTGATGCGGTCACGATAGAAGGCCATATTCCGAGCCTGAATGTGAGGGTCGGAGGCAAGCTGGCTAACGACACCTTTGGTGACTTCATTGTGTTGCTCCGTTATTTTCGCTGCCCACTCTTTCCATTCGGGTGATGTCTTGCCACCAAGACTCCTGATTTGGCTCTCATATTCATTGCGGATCTCCGCTTCAGTGCACTCCGGTGCATGAGCAAGGACCTCCGCTTCAGTGCCCTCTGGTGGACGAGGGAGAGATGAATCGGGTTGCTGGCGCCTGAGGCAAATGTCGCCTCATTTGTGAAGACACTGGAAGGCATTCCAACTGTTCCCATTCTGTCGACGACTTTTCGTAGTGACCATGCAGTGGGCCGCCTTCAGCAAAGTCTCCGGGGACTTTTTCCACTCGCACGCATATCTTGTTAGAGTTTCAACATGCCGCTCCATCAGATCACGTATGATTTCACGTTGACTGGTAGTCAACGGACCACCGCACAACCCAACTACCCGTGCCGAAGTGGAGTCTCCTCCCTCAGTATCCCCCACATTGTTTTCAGCCCCCTCCTCCTCATCATCATCATCATCATTCTCCATCAGTATGAGGCCAGACAAGTCAACCGCGTTTGTACCTGCCAAATCATCAATGGAGGAACCCTCATGGACACCATGTGTTATCTTGAAAGATGGCAGGTAAGGTGTGGATGCCCTGGAGGGCACTGGAGTAGAGGGAAAATCCAAGATCGACCTTGGTGACATCGCACATGCCTTATCTTCATCTGGATGTGGTGGCTGCAGTTCTGGCCCTACATTAATTGCCAGAGGCTCTTCTAGAACAACGGGGGAGGGCTCCTGCCTCAGGAGCCGAGGTTGCGAGTCACCTCCCCCTTGCTTCATGTCCGACCCCCTGTGGAGAGGAGGCAGGCGAGGGGAGTCTGGCACCGAGGTCCCTGGGCTGTTAGGGAGAGAATCAATGGCTTGATTGGGAGATGGCTCCTTTGAGGATGATGGCCTCCGCCTACGTAATGAACCAACAACCTGAACTGACAAGCTCAATTCAGCTATTGCTGGCTGTGTGGGCCGGGGATCTGGTGGAAGGGTAACAGACGTTGAGAGTGGAGTGGTAGGTGATGATTGGACAACCGGCAGGACAACAGAAGACGCTGGTGGAGCAACTCTCTTTTTGGTGGAGCGGGAGGCCGTTTTCTTGCTGGTGACAGAAGATGCCGGCGAGGCAGTGCCTTTTTTGTTAGAATGCAAGGCGTTCTTGCGGGTGACAGAAGATGGTGACGGGGCAGCACCCTTTTTGTTAGAGTGGGGACCCGTTTTCATGCCAGCAACAGGAGGCGGCAGGGAAACATCCATTTCGTTAGAAGCAGGGGCCGTGTTTGCACCGGCAGGACCCTCCAGAGACGCATGCAAGCGGGCAGAGCGCTTAACAACGCGTCCACTCGAGGTAGTTTCTCCTGTGAGTGAAACCTCGGAGTGGGGGCGCATGGTGTCGGTTATCAGGTCCAACAGCTGACAAGGCCACAAATATTGGAGTGTTGACTTTCGGCCGCCAAGATGGTGCTTCTTATTGGCAAATAAAATTTAAGTTGGCCTGAAAACTTCAAGCCGTAAAGAATAACTATCAGTTGAACAGGGGTTCTAAAGCTTAGAAGCACGCAAGCCTGAAAACTTCAAGCAGTAGAAACGGCAATGGATTAATCAGGGATGACGTGAAGTGAGGGTGCTACTTGGAAGTGCACAGGACCAAAGATTGTAAGTCGTAAATACGGCTATCGATCACCAGGACCGTACAGTTGCAACTGCCCCCCAATTGACCTGTAAAAGATTGTAAGAGAGTTGTCAGCGGTCACTTCTGACACCTACCTCGACCCAATGATTTCTGTTCGGTGTGAGGTCGAAAAAAATTTTCGACACAAACTTGCAACAACAAAATATTAATTGCGCTTATGATCGTTGTACAATATAGGAAGTACTCTTATTCGATCTGGAAATAAGGGCAAAAGTCGATGACAGTGGGGTCGACTGTGAGTCACCATTTTCGTTGACCCCTCAAGTACTGGAATGACTCCGTTTTCTCTTTCGATACCCTCTGAACAGCATCAAGTTCCGAATGGCACCGTCTATGTCCGATTTTGTCTGCCAAATGTTGGCCATGAATGCCTTCTTCCCTTTCAAAATGGCGGAGTCATATGCACAAGCAACAAGAATAAATCGAGTCGCATCGTACGTCTTCAAGTAAAATGGCAATCCATCATACCAAGCCCAAAGTACGTGAGGGCCAAAGTCGAATGCAGTTAGAATTGCATCCCTGGGAGCTATTTCATCATGCGTTGGGACCAGAGGAGCGCGTGCGTGGTAAAGAAGCTCATTGCCAATGTTTTCGTTAGTTAAAACTGGTGGTGCATCAGCAAGAAAAAAATTCCGCTCGAGTCCCCACTCAAACTCCCCCCATACCAGCCTGATGTAATGTAAATCAAAGCGGGAATCCCAAAAATATCTCAAAGCCTCCTTTCCGGAGAATGGATCGATCGGGGCTATTACCGAGTGCTGGAGCGCAGCATGGTAGTGCTCACTGTCCGCTGACAGAGCTGCGAGGACTTCGTCCAGAACACTGCGCTGTTTTGCCAAGACCGCAACGTGCCATATTCCATACTTGGAAGATGTTTTCGTGGCCCTGATTTGAGTAACGGCATACACTCCGGATATGTTGAAGAGATCCTTAGCCCACGTGTTCAGAGTCGTTCTGTCAAACGACGTGAAGTGCACACTGTCAAGGGGGGTTCTTAAGCAATGCCAAGATGCGTAGGGGAGAGTCTGACGGGATTGAGTAGGTGGGGCAGGTGGCATATGTTCTACAACAGGAGGGTTCAACAGGGATGCAAACCATGCCCAAGCGTGTTCAGAAAAGGGTCCAACCCAACCCACAGATACAGGTCCGGAATCACCTACACCTACTTGTAGTGGTTGCGACGATGGGGCATCCACATCCGTCTTTTCATCAACACTTGTTGCTGGTGAGCGCTGATGGAAAGGGGCATGTTGCTGGGGGATGGAAGGTGAGCGTGGGCGAGGAGAGGCAGGCCTCCGAGAAGAGGGAGCGGGTCCACGAGAAGGAGAGGGTGGGCCTGGAGCGACATCAAGAGGGCAAGGAGTGCGCTGATGGGGGGAGGGAGCACGCGGCCAAGGAGGGGAAGAAATGGGCCACCGAAAAGGGGAAGGCGCGTCACGAGGAGAAGGCACGCACCAGTGGGGAGAAGGAAGAGAAGAATGATCACCACATCCATGAGAAGGAGAGGTCAGATGAGACACCTTTCTTGGGCCTGGGGAAGGTATTGGAGACGTGCGGCGCCTAGCCTTCCGATGCTGCAGGTCCCAAAGATAAGGCTGGCGAGCAGCCAAATGATCTCGCTTTGAACGCAAGGGTGAGTGCCCATGGCAACCTCGCGGTGGAGACTGTCTGAGATTTCCAGGTGTAGCTTCAACGACATCCATGCTTCTTGATCTAGATTGACTAGCACCACCTGGTTCCATAGTTGGGGCCATTAATGGGGAGGGGACTGTATTTTGGAAGGGGGTCTCTGTTGGTGGCAACGTTGGCAACCTAGTAATCACGAGTTAGACAATTTGCATGAATATTATTCGATATGCGAATGCGTACCCCTTAGAAACCAAATACTCGGAGCACTGCTGCTGGCGTCGAGCAAGCTCGCTCGCCGAGAGTTTCTCTGGTCTATTCCACTTGCGTCGACAGTATCGTTCCAGCGGTGTCTGCCTCTTGGCCCCCCAGTTGGTTGGCTTCAGATTCTTCCCACTCATCCCCGCAAGAATGTGCTCAACCTCTCTCCGCGCACCCTGGAAGCCAAGGTAGGCACGAGCAAGTAGGATGGAGCCATCTAGATGATGCAAAGCATCTCTCTCCTCCTGTAGGTGTTGCCTCTCGAGTCATTCGTAACATTCGATGCCGCCCGGAAGGTTTTCATAAACATGTTCCGGCGGCGGCAATGCCGCCTGGAATCGTCCCCCAAAATCCAAAACATCCTCAATTTCCTCTCTAGAAACTCTGCACACGATGGGACCACATTCTTCATCATTGGCTTCGGGTTCAGGATTGGCATTAGCGAAGAACTCAAAACTTTCTGGGAAAAGATCATGAATGACAGCGAGGATCGCGGTCCGAGATTGAGCACCCAGTTCGAATTGCCTGCCCATCAGCTCCGAAATTCGACTAATCGCAACTAGGATAGGATGGGGAGGTTCAGACCTCTCAAGTCCAGATATCAAACCTTCTGGGTGGTGAATGTCTCTATGAAGGACACGGTAATAGGCATGTACGGACATGCATTGTGAGGCAGGCTCAAACGCCACACAGAGCGATTCCGCCATACGATGAGTGCTCGTGTTTGGAGGTAAAGGACAGCTTTCGACAATGTAAACTGGAGTGCCATGACGAATCATCTGTTCCAGTTGCTCTCCTAATTGATATGTCTCATCGGGAGCCATGTTTGACATGTAAATCGTACAGCCTGACTGTTGATGGTCGACATGAAAACGAGGCGGGGATAGCCCGTGAGCAGCAGCAAGGGTATCAATGAACTGGAACATTGCCCAGACGGCCCAAGCCCGAAGGTCAGCGGCACGCAGGATGAACTGTTTGACAGAGCGTTGACGCTCTGCGACGGGCTTACTCTTCTTGAAATCCCTCCAGTCTTTTAATAAATAAATGGGCCTTTCATCGGGCATCCGCAATGGCAATGATGCCCACTGTAGTAGCGAGGCCATAGCATCAAACACTTGAGTACATTACGTTCTCCACTTCATTCAGCCCAGAAACAAGTTGAGGGCTGGGATCACGAAACATCGAATACCAGGATACGTCACCACGCCACGGATCATTCGGGACTTTAATGTAGTATGACCTCCATGGGCGTTGATAATCATAAAGAACCGGGTATTGCATAAAATCCCAAGGCGCAACGAATGGCCAAAGGTGGAATTGGGAGGGAATATCTTGACCGTGTAATCCTGGCCATAGCGTCTTCTGGCCATGTTGATTGAAAGCCGTTGCATGGCTGTGCATTCCGGGGAATCGATACGTATCAGCCAATGGGGTGTTTGAATATTTCAGCACGTAGGCTGAAGGCTGCACTGGCTCTGAAAATGCCATTTATTGGCCTGCATTAAATGTCTGAGGCTCGTACATACCGGATAACGGCCTCAGTGCTGATTGGATCTGCGAGACCCTGTAATCCTCGATGGATGAAGCTGCATCCAAGTGACCAAGAACATCCCTAGAGTTGAAAAACCCTGGCTCAACCGTCCAGCTAATCCCACAACTCGATATAAGACCAGGCAACCCATCTCCGCACAAAGCTTCAGTGGCGGGCATCGTTGGAGCGGACGACGATGAGTGATTACGAAAAAATGAGGCTGAAAGGTTCGAAGACGTCTCCTTCGGGATTTTCTTGAACCTCAGGTTCTTCGGCAAATGAGGTAGCCTCTGGGCGATAGGTGAGCTACCTGCATTAGTCTGACCCGCCTGGGGCGCAATAACCCCCGAAACACGAGGAGGGGCTGACTTGGCCGCATGAGAAACATCGGTCTGAGATAGTCCGGAGGCAACAACCTCCTTCATGATGACAGAGGATAACACAACTTTATTGACAGCTCTCCTCCCCGTGGCTTGACGCGTGGAAGTCTTTCTGCCGGAATTTGACATTTGTTGCACAACTCCATGATTATATAATATAAATAGAACTCCATGACACGTGACAACTTTGGTTCCGTTGGCTTGCCACGCAAGCACATCACTGAACCCCATGGTATCCCATCCCGGTAACACCATAAGCTAACCACTTGAATTTTCATGAAAATTCCTCCTCTTATCCCACAGACATATTTGTGGGTGATCCTCTTTGTTTCTCCTTTGTTTCAAATACAAATCTGGGTTTGGTGCCCCTTTCCCCAATTTACCTGACATTAAGTCACCTGGTGTCCTATGGGTGCGTTATCGTGCTCTTGGATGGTGGCATACAATACTGATTGGTATTCTCAAACAGTTTTCATGCTACTCCTGTCCAGTTTGTACCCATGAAAGGGCCCACCATTCACTAGATCATTTTGACCAGTGGAAGACATGCCAGTTGGACCATCAAAATCCCTCATCGCTTTGCCACAGTAGGGGATTCACAGTCAGTACGTAGTAGCTCATATAGCTGATGAGATCCAGATGGAAAAGGCGAGTGCATTTAATCGATTTTTTCCTATTGATGACTGCACTCTTGGAGCTTCCGCAAGGTCCGGGTTCCTACTGCTTAGTATCCAAGTCGAAACCGTTCCTCCAACATTCCGTGTCATCTTACTTTATCATTATTTACATCGGGATGACTGCTCGTCGACGTCGTCGTTGTCGTCGTTTGCACTGCCACCATCGCCCACCTCGTCAAAACATTCATCACTCGGCACACGATACGGGACTTCCTGCGTACTTGGGCTATTCTCTTACCCATCCCATTTCATTCGAACGCTGCGGCCCCGTTCCAAACGCCCGCGAACTCCGCGAACTCGTTTTGAACCCCGCGAACTCGTCTCGAACGCCATGAACTGATTCGAACTCACCCGAACGCATTCGTACTTCCGCCCCCAACCCGCAAACCGCCATTTACGCCACAATGAAAACTCAGTTCAACCGAGTGAAGACTTGGTTACCTCGAAAGGGGTCGAACAAAAAAACGTGGGCACATCTACACAAGCGCTTCGTTGTTCGAGTCCAGAACGATCCAGACTATCTGCTCGTGTACAGCGACGGCTCGCGGATTGTTATTGGCGGGGCAGATAAGTATGGGTACGGTGTCGTGGGGTTTACCGACTCTGTGGAAGTTTTCCAAGCTTCGGATGGGCAGAATGGGGGCATGATATTGTTCGAGGCCGAGATGAAAGGGTTTCAGCTGGCAGCGGAGAGAATTCGACAATATCTGGATGACCCAAGTACGACCCAGCCGCCGACGCGGGTGTATGTATTCGGCGACGATGTCGACTCCCTGAGGCGGATACTGAGGTCAAAGCCGAACAAAGGGGAACAGTATGCGCGTGCATTTCGAAGGGCCATTGAGGCGGTCTTGTCCAATCGGCCGCACCTCCAGGTGACGGTGGGTTGGTCCCCGTCACATTGTGGAATACGCGGGAATTCTGGACTGGCGAAGCAGAGTGCTCGCAATGCCTGAACTCTATCTACCGTTACATTTTTGTATTTACAACAACCCTCTTTTGTATATTTTTCTTTCATTCTCGCTGTAGAATAACCCTGCGCCACCAATGTCATCATTGTATCATCCCAGAAGTGACTCAATTACGGCCTTCGATCAAAACCTTAATGTTATATGTATAGTGACTCAAATTGATGATTACTGCGTTTTTGAGGGAATCTGTCAATTTCCAAGTGAATGGGGTGTCAATATGTTCACTACATATTGACCCGTTTTGACCACACTCATCCCCGTGGGAACCAATACAATCGTGGGGTATGCATGTCCCTCCAAATGGCCGCCCGGCCAAAGCCGAGGCACCTGCTCCATCACACTCGTTAGCGCCGTTGTAGGTGATGTGCGCGTCAATTAACGCCAGTATAACATATGTCACACTATAGATACGACTTCAACCCCTGATTGCGGCTCTACGTCCACACGTCCCGGTAAGCGCCCACAAAATCTGTCGATCCCACCCAGCTTTACCATCCACCATTCCACAGCTCAAGGTTGCCACACACGATCCTTTATATTACTACAGCCATATAGGTACGAGTTGAACCTCTGATCGCGGCTCTACGTCCACGCGTCCCGTAAGCGCCCAAAATCTATTGATCCCACCCAGCTTTGACATCGTGCCATGTAAATGTTGTACTCCATTCCACAGCTCAGGGTTGCCACGCACAATCCTTTCCAGCCCTGTCGGCCATCTCTGCGCTCATAGAAAACTCCATTTCCGGTTAGTGTTCTCCCTGTTTGCTCTCGGCGTTGCAGCTAACAAAAACTTTCTAGATATCATTGAGGGCTCTTCTCTTCATCTTTAACCGCAGACGACTAGAGGTGCTTCACGCATCGCTAGTGAATCATGGTTACCGTGAAGATATTTGACTGACGAGGGCCAGAGGTTGTATTCAACACCGCTGGCACTCACGGTCATCTTGGTCTTCTTGCCCACCCCCTGCAACGCCAACCTCCCGTTCTAATCCTGCGCAGTACACTCGACATTCATACCCCCCCCAATCAGCTCTTCTACCCAAACGGTGCATTACATCACGCGCCGATATCCAAACTTCTAGTTCAGCGTTACTCGTGTATGGGCCCGCAAGTCTCACTGCCTGTGGTTAGGCATTCCTGGCACCGCAGCAAACGTTTTGCGCATCGTCTTTTAACATCAAACGGCACTAACAATCCCACTCGGTGGACATTGTCCCTGCCCCGGATTGTGTACTGTCAATTCGTCCAATCCTTATTCGTGGTCTCGTACTCAGGTTTGGCTTTCTGGACATCACTCGCACACCAAGCGGCGCTTACACGACGTGCCAAATGGTGCGATCAGACACGAACCTCAACCTTACCCTTCTGCCACCCTCGACCTTCTGCACCCACCAATTGTGCCATCCAATCCGTGTTAGTGGACTCGTATTCACATTCACCACTTGTGCACCACGTGCCCGAAACCCTGTGCTTGAGTGACTTGAGAAACGGCGGTGCAATTAGACAAGAACACCGTGCGCTCGCCACCGGCCTACCCCGTGTACTCCATACCCCGTAGCAAATACCTTTATAAGAGTAGTTCCAACGCTACGCCCCTCTCTCCCCGTCATTGAGGGCTAACAATCTCGTTAAATTCCTCGCCACCCTCTACCCCGTGTTGCGCGCCACCCTTTATCCAGTCCGTCTTAGCGAGCCCGTATTCTCATTTCATCTGGATACTATGCGCACCCCATCCGGCGCCCAAGTGCTGAGAGAAACGGTACAATTTGACTGGGGCTCCCATCCGACCGACGTGTGCCCCACTGCATATTTGATAGTTCCAGCACCATACCACTGCTCCACTGCCCACCAATTGCCCTGTTTGCCTATTGGTATGCCCCACAGCTACACACACTGACTGAATGTGCAGCTGACTGAGTATATCTTAGACTAGCCACGCAACCGCTGCATACTTGTTGAGAAGAGCCTGTCCTGTTCTTTTCCGTTCACCCTATCTCTTAACGGCTACATACCATGCCGAGGCATAAGCCTGTAATTCCTCGCCTTACTACCTCTCCTGTAAAAAAGTATCACCCGTATAATTTAAGCAAACCCAAAAAATATGTGGATCTCCTTGGTGGCCAGTCTGCACCTGAATCCAAACCCTCAATGTGCAAAAAGAAAGGACATGAGCGCATTCCAACCGCTGAAGTCCCCATTCCCCAGCCATCGCGACGTGTCGAGATAGCAAACGCCAGTGGCACCGTGATGACCCAACGCTGGGGGCCTGGAATCGCATCTAGAGATTGGTGGCCAGTGCCAAATCGCCACGATCATGTAGGAAATGCAATATCAACAGATGCCAGCAATGTTTCGACTCCCCCTTCAACGCCGGCTCTAAAAAAGGAATCACCGAAATGGGAGGCATCACCTCAAGGTTGGCTGGAAGGTATCGCAGAACCCGCTCTTTCAAACCCAGACTCCGCCTTGCCCCCTACACCTTCGCGGTCAGCTTCCCAAAAACGGGCCAAGAGAGCATTACGAAATCCGCAAAAGCAAGCTGCATGGCTCCATTGGCACTGCGATATAATACACAACGCACTGGAAATCTATCTAGAAGTAGAGGCAAAGAAGGCAGGACGCATACCCCTTGCCACCCCCAGCGAGACGTCATTTGACAGAAACGGAAAACTACAAACACCGGCAGTATCGCTGTGCTCTCACTGCAATGCGTCTCCCCGGTTTCATTCGCTCATGACGATCGCGTTCTCAGGTACGTTTCCGTTCTGATCTCGCTCAACAAACAATGACCCAATGACCCCGGGCCAGGTGCCATGCGGCGGATGTTCAAATATTGTGAATGTCCATCTAATACTCTCCCGCTTAGCATCATCCAGTCTGGCTACTTTCCGGGGTCACCTGTAATGCCTCAAGTTGCCTTCCATTTCGACGTCCTTTCGCTGTATTCAGCCTTACATGTGGACTCATATACCCTGGCTGCCTCCTTTCATGCCGCTTTGTTTTCCATGTTACAAGAGAATGGCTACGAGTTCACCCACAACGTGAGATTCATTTGTTATTTGTCAGGAATTGGCATGTTCATGATCTGGCGTTCATATAGGACCCTTTTCTCCAGTCGTTTAGTGAGGCGATCACTTGGTTCCAGGCCTTACGTGATTTAGTAGACGTTGAAACGGAGAGAGAATTCCTCCATCCCTCATCCCTTGTGGCGCCTGATGCACCGCTATGGTGTTCCGCGCTGGCCGAGTCCGCCGGGTCCATCCACGCTGTTCCTGCTCACAACGGAGATCCTTCAGTCGCTACGTCCCATGGCATGGTATCTGTTGACCACGGCATCCCAACCTTCACAAAGACGTCACAGGATCTTCCGTCGATGGTCCCTGAGCGAGCAAGGCTCATTCACAACCCATCCAACACCACCGCCAGCCCATACCTCCGTGCGAGATGCCCCCAATGTTTTGGAGGTTTGATATGGGGTAGTTCAGCCAACGAGTTAGTCTTCTCATGGATGTCCTCCGAGAACAGGTATACTAAGTGTTTCCCTAGATGTCCTCACGTCATCGTCGCTATGGATGGTAATATGCAACATAGGCAGTACATGTTCATTGGAGGAGACATGGTCCTTCCCTGGAATGAAACCTGTACATTCCTCACCGATGCCGAAATTGAGGAAGCTGCCCTCCATGTCTCTGATGCACGAGCTGCATCTAGAGGTTGTTCGGAAGAATCTCGTCCCTCATCCCTTGTACCGGATGGTGCTATTGATGAATGTGAAGAATCACACAGAGCCACAAAACATGGAAAACGGACTGCCTCGAAAACGGATACATTCCGTTTGAAGGGTCTGATGGCAACTGTATGCCGTCATGATATCCCCCTTTTCCTCTGCGATGTACGCACTCCAGGTGAACAGCAGCACTTTTCAATTGCCATGCTCCTTGCACTCAACCGCCAACTACCCTCAAACGCCACCATTGGATTAATGTATGATGTTGGATGTGTTCTCGATCGATCAATTGCCAAGGTATGACTTTGTGTAGCATTCAGGTACAACCTCTTGATATACAAACAAAGTACAATCTCATTCCTGAAATCGCTCCTAGATTGAGCATCGCCGTTTCAGTCTTCCATGCCTATGCACATCAATTCTGTTGTCAAATCGCATTTCACCCCTGGAAACGAAATGGGTTCGGAAAGTCAAACGGGGAAGGAAATGAGCGGCTATGGTCCTTAATTGTTGATACAATAGCGCCTGAATGCATAATGAGTGTGAGTCTCACCAGGCCAAACACTGTTTGTTCGACAACCCTATCTTATCCAAGGTTCTCCCCAAACTATAGCCAGCTAAACGAATCACAACTATTGACCACAAAATCAAGAAGATTGCGATCCGTGGCCGAGACCGTCTTGCTTCATTGGCGAGGTCCAAACTGGCCACCATTCTCCGTGAGGAGGCGCTTCTGATGGATTTTCTTAAAGATTTGGAGAGTGACAGGGGATTCACAACTCCTTTCCTTCGATCCCAGTGGGAAGAGCAAAAGACTTTGCAGCTCTCCGTTCGAACTTGTATGTCTGTTTCCAATCCCGTGTTCGCCGTTGACCTATGCTGGTTATGGTCTAGACAATGACCAAGCCGGAATGAAAAAGTTTGCGAGACTTCTCGAAGCCGAACGGTCAGCGCAAGCACATTCGGAAGCATTGGATGCTGTAAAGAAGGAGTTGGACCGAATCAGCTTGGCGCAAACACTGTCCCACAGCCCTATCAATCTTGACGAACATTTCCAAGCCGCTCAGCATGTATGGTTGTTGCGTGATGAATCTCAACAACGCCTACGAGATCTGACAGCTCAAATTGGCCTGTCTGATTTGAAACCTCCATGAAATCCATCTAGCACAGAAAGGGACTATATGGAGAAGTACATCCTGGCCCGATTCCGCAAACATGCCATCCTTATCCGCTTAGCCAAGTACCAGGACGAGATGAACCCTATTCGAAGCTCGCAACGGCGTGGAGGACGACTCATTACAAAAGTTGGTAAGCACAACCCCATTTGAGGTGAATGGTGATGTGCTTGAAGGCTTATCCGGTACTTATAGGCTACTCGAAGATGGTCTCAGTGTTCAATAGTGCAAAAGACCGTGCCCGTGTTATTTCCGACCAGGTCACGCGATATAACGAGCTTGTTGACAGCTGTTAGAATGCGGGGATTCGGACGACTCCGGAATGGAATCGGAGACTTAGCATGGAAGGACCTCGGCCTCAGCGACTCAGGTGGAGCGCTGTGCCATTGCTGGTTGTCCTGGGGGTCCCTAATTTCGGATCTAGCAGAGGGAAAGTCTCTTGGGGGGAATTCCAGTCGATTTCGGACTGAGGTTACAAGTTACTAGGTACATTGTATATAAGGAGGGGTCTGGAATCAAAAGGAACAAGGGTAGGACAAAAGGAGACAAAGGGAGATGGAAAGGGGAACAACACCGAGGGTCAAGTGTTTGACTCAATGGTGTTTCTCAAAGGAGGAATGAAGGGCCAAGGCCCAAGAAGGAAGGAAGGAGGATGGGAGTCGGGAATGGCTAGCTGACTGAATAGAAAAGAAGCAGCAGCCCAAATAGGAATGAGGGAGTATAGCAGAATTGAAATGGACAATGCAATAGTTGCAAGGTCCGGAGTAAGTCCGGAAAGTCCGAACTCGGAGGTTAAACTCCGGAATATTGGCAAACGTAATTAAATGGAATGAGCTAACCAATACAATGGGTATAAGCGGAGGTGGGGTCAAAGTCCGAGGTCGGAGCTAAGACCGGAGGTTCCGGAGACGAGACGTGAACAGGATACCGGAGTGGAGGTCCGGAGTCGGGAGCATAGGTTTTGCGTACTCGTCTGGAAGGTGTCGAGGTTGGGGTCGGACCCGGAATGTTCCGGAGTCGGACCGAAGGTGGTGTCTGAGCCGGAGGTGGGATAACCTCTTGGGAGTCGGCAAGGAGAAGGTGACGGAAGGGAAGTAGGGCTCCGGAAGTCGGAGTTCGGAGTTCCGGGAGCCCGGAGCGGAGGTCGGGATTGTATGGATATGACAACAGCCTCGAGCGTTCCGATAGGCCCTCCTGGCTCCCGGATTCTTTGAAGCACACCAAAATGGACGTCAAAATACTGCTTAACATGGATCCCAGTGATGAGCAGTGGACAAACATGTGGGAGAGCCTGTGGGTTTCCAACTGGAACCTGGATGAGAAACCACCTGCCTTTATTGTCGATCAGCAGGTTCGCCATGGCATAGTAGCAGTGCTGTCGCTCGCTCGTATTGAGGAAGAAAAGCTTAGGCTCGCTCGAGAGGAACTCAACGCGCGCACCTGGATCGTCCAGTCGGTAGACTCCATGATTCGGACCACAGACGATATTCATCGTATGTCCTACAATTCCCACAAATCACCAATACACTAACATTGATTCCAGCTCTTTATAAATATCGATGGCAACTACGCCTCAAGTTGTTACTCAAGTGCCGTGATACAATCATGAACGGACCATTTCCTTGCGTCAATCTGTGGCGTGCATCGACACACTACCTGCTTGCAAACCTAGAACATTCAGACCCCCAGGCTGCACCGAGTGCCATGGAGTATTCCTCCTTCCGCCTTCCCCCCCCTGGTTCCGCAACTCTATCCTCAGGAACACACGGCATAGACCCCAAAGACGATGCTGTAGTCACAAATGAACTAAGTGCACTCACTGGACTTATCCGGATGAGCCCAGAGCCGGATGACAACGACGATATTGATGATATCGAGCCCTCTACTGACAGTGGCAGTGGCCCAGGCGATACTCTCGAACCTGAGATACCCGTAAACCATTCAGACGGTGAACCAGAGATATGACTCGATGAGACAATGGACCCCATTGACAATCCTGATCCACACACTGAACCTCTTACGGACTTGGTTCCTCATAGATTGAGAGATGCAGATAGTCCTGGCTGCAACAAAAGTATTGAGGAGAAGTTCTGGAATGAGAACCCCCATCCCCAAAGTCTTCCTCCAATTACAACAATCTTCGATGCCATCCGTTCACCCACCCAGTCCATCCAACAACAAAAGCCAACCAAAATTTGGAAGGAAATAATGGAGTTGCTTCTGCCTCAAGACGCCGGAAAAGTAAGAATCCTCCCAGGCTCCCCAGTGACTCATGCCACTGATATCTCATTAGATAGTGAATGAGAGCAAAACAAGAGATAAAGCAAGATATTACAAACATATTGCGATCTTCCCTGATGCATTACCGACAGTCAATCGCCAGCGGCTGATACATGGAGCAATAATCGATGCCTACGTTGAGATGCTGCAAGACCTTACAGACAAAAAGCTATGGGATATCCTCAAGACTACTCGCCCCCACGTGATCATGTTTCCTACTCAGTGTGAAGGAATGAGGCATTGTATGGCAGTTCACCTGTTGGATGTATGTGGGAATGCTTACACCGATGGACCCTGTACTAACCAACCTTCAGCGAGCCACAAAGAAGGTCCGAACTGATCTTTTTGATGCAAGCACTTGGACAATTCCATGCTACTCAAGGAAGCGCAGTCACTGGCTGCTTGGCGTTGTAAACTTCGAACAACGAGAGCTGCGCTATCTTGACAGCATGCCTCTCCAGCAAAATGCTCATATAGGCTGTCATGGTCCACAGTGGGTGTTTACAGTGCGTTCCCAAACTCTAACCTGCATCTCAGTGTCAATGATACCTCTTTCATCAGATACTTCAGGGACTAGTCAATGCCACCTGGTTGTTCATCCACCCTGATGATGAGCATGGATACAACTGGTCCAATTGGTCCACTCGAGCAGTCACTGTAGGTGTGCATCTCGCTGAATCGTGAACATCATATATATTAAAAGCCCCAGATGGAACCGCACCAATGGAATGGGTATGATTGTGGGGTTTGGACCATGGCTGACATTCAAGCTATACACATCGGACTTGATGCTGCGCCGAAAGACATGAACATCGACAATTTTCGGGATAGGGTGAAACAACAGATCCTTTCCCTTCCTCCATCGACACTGCGTTGGCAGCCTACCTGGAGAAGCCTGGATCCGGACCTCATTCATGAACTGCGGTGCCGAGCTGCTAAAGTGGCCGCAACATTTCCCGTTAATTATTCCGAGCTCAAAATCGATCACACGGACTTCCCATTAGTGATGGATGATGAACAAGAACAAATAGATTTGACCGACTAGTGGAGTCTATGTATGATGGATTCGTAGTCTGTATCTACTTTCTCCTGAGATACTGAATCCCAACGAAGATGTCCCATTTCGTGATTCGTGAAAAACTCACGGGTATGAAGTTGCTCACCTTTTCGTGGTCATCAGATCCGCTGTACTCAATCCTAGCTGGGTGTGAGTTGATTTGGATCTTGCTATTCACGCCAGAACCGTTTCCAGTGCCGCAAAGCAAGAGACAGCTGTTTAAACAACCACCTGCCCCAGCCGGATCGCGCACCACCACCAATGGAGAACGGAGCCATGATTGCTCATCCTTTGGGGCGCTTACAAACAGCTGTCAAGAGCCCGCTCAGTTTTCTGCTGCACCACGCTCCCTCTCTTCTTAGTAAGGTGTTTCCTCACTCGTGAATCCTGGACTAGCATCCTGCAGCTCCCTCGCAGCCACTAGACCCAATTGCCTTCTGAGCCAACAATGTCCTCCTCATGATTCGCACCAACCATCACTCACCCGCTCAATGTCTGCACTCTCAAACTTGTCACTCCACCTCTAGTTTAGCCGTTTAACACCACCAAGTGCGTGAAGGGTGAAGTTACTCCTCGGTAAGCCCTTACTGATTCCCTCCACAACGTAACCTCATTTGAAGGCTCCAAACTAGTTTGAAAGCTCCTTGTTCTTCATCCAGCACGTCCTCCTTTCTTTCCCCTCGTCGAGATGTCTGCATTCGATGTGGGTCGGTTCACCATTTAAGACAGATATCACGATGCTGACAAAGAGGCGCGGACCCTATACTTATCATCACGAACAGGGCATCTCTAACCATCCCAACCTTAGGACTGATCATTTCGAATTTAGGTGCTCCAGGCATATGGATAACCAGGATCGAGCCAAAATCATTTGGAGCCCTTCGATCTTTGGGATAGCTCCGCCCAAACAAGGGACCGCCCACCATCACAAGCCCCCTCCGCAAGCTGAAGCAACGAGCATGGAAAGACTCTGACGCTTTTTCAGTCTGAGACATTTACCCCGGTGACAACCTGTTATCTTATGAGGAAAGTGCTTCAGAGGATGAGAAACCTCAGCGACGTTCACTAACTAATGCTCAGAAGCTCAACCTCATCCCAATAAAGCTTCGTGGCTCCACCACAAACTGTCCCACTATACATCATCCTTGATTCTGTTGTCATGCTTGCTAGTGGCAGGTCCTCTGCCAGTCAACCCATGAGACGGATAGTGTGTTGTTATGGAAATGGGAATTTCCCATTTTAGACTCTTATGGGTTCTGTATCACATGATTTGTATAAATAATTAAGTTTAACGAATCAATAATCAACGAAAAACCCGCTGCCACACTACCTGTTAAACTACATGTTAAACCATCTGTGAAACCATCTGTAGACCCTAATGAACCACCTCCCTTCCCCTTTCCTTTTCCCTGCGCCTTGAATGGACGAAAATGGGCGCCTCCGGCCCCATTTTTGTAACATGTGTTCTCATGTTCTTGTGCTGGGCATTGACTCTGCTTTCCATAGGGTGTCCTTTCCGTAAAATGACCTAAGTGATTCGTCCTCATTTACAAAGTATGATAAAGGGTGAACCTCCTATTTGATAAACCCTGTCAAATAGACCCCTCGCATCCGTTCGTTGTGCGCTTAAGCTTTACCTCTTTCTTTGATGTTCATTGTGCTACTTTACATCTACTTCTAGTATTTCCCCTGTTTGCCCAAAACATGTTTCTTTTTTGGCTTGCTTTTCTCCTACTTCGCCTTTCACCGTGTGATATGCTGGTTAGTTCTTCCCCTCTTTTCTTCTTTCATCATTGTACATCCCCATGCTCAAGCATGAAGTTCTCGACCCGCACTGCGGCTCTCGCCACACTGTTCCGACTGAAACTCTTGTCCGTTTGCACACACGATGTATAGTAATTCAATGAGGCTGAAATATGTCAGAACAATGTATTTCGGTTCCCCCGCAAAAACACTCGAGGGAGTAACTTCTGGACAGGTACAAAATATTAAGAACAAACTTAAATGGCACAGGCGCCTAATTAGATCTCTGCTTGAAGTCTATGAACTTCGTTCTCCAGTTGCATGCATCTCGATGCCAATATTGCATATTCATCGATATTGACGCCGCAGTGGGGGCACTTTGAGGATTCTCCAATGGCAGGCCAACGTTCCATAGCTGAAAATGGATCAAATTCGTCATCCATCTCTAGCCTACCTGAATGTGCCTGTTGCGGTGCCGGATATGGTGCCGGTTTGGCCTGTCTTCTCAGTACTCCTTAGTATCTGGTCTTGCCTATTATCATTATGGGGAGATGTCTTACTGGTTAAGTTTGTGGGCTCCCATTGAACGAGTGGCGGATATCTTGGTTGTAGCATTCAGGGGATCCGAGACAGGCCCTGGCTCTCTTATTTAACATCATGTTAGCCTACACTCTATTTCTGGCTCGATTCACGGTTTTCTCCTACGCTTTGAGTCTTCTACGATGGTTGCGTTGTTGCAGTGTATTAGCCGCTCGGCGCTCATCAGGTGTTACGTACAATCGGGGCCGTCCGCGACCCCGTTTCCCCGCAATATCAGCGCTCTTGTCCTATGGTGCATCATATCAGTGGTTAAAGATCTATCAGAAAAGGCAGGTTGCACCTCAGGATTATTCATGACAACCGATGAGGGTCACGAGCTCGCAAGACCAAACACTATTTTCACCACCATTTATCTTTTCAAACATTTGTACCACTATTCTCTTCCTGGAAAAAGGCTAGCGCATATCCATCCTTGTTAAGAGCGGTGGCCAGGATTATTCATGACCATGTCACAATTAATTCAATAGGGTCACGAGCGGTGCCGTTTTCAACACCATCCATCTTTTCCGACACTCGTATCACTATCACCACTTCGCCAATATATTATTAAAGTGCCATCAGACGAGGTAGGTATCCCCTGGATTATTTATGACGATGTCACAATTAATTTAACAAAGGTCACGAGCCAGTGGACCCACTCATTTTCAATGTCATTCATCTTTCGCATCACCCCTTTCCCTCATCATCAAAGGTGAGTGCATGCACATCTTTCTTCCCTCAGAGTTCCATCTTCAGGATTGTTAACCTTCCTCGACTTCTATACTCGCCACATTTGGAATATCGAACGCGGCCCCAAAACTTGGCACTTTGAAACCGGACGTCGAACTATGGGCAGCTCGATTCAGACAGCATGGGAGTGGCAGCCAATCATCGTAAACGTAAGTGCCGCTTTGTGGTTAGCCTGCATACCAGCACCATTCGATCATTGATCTCATCGATACCCTCTTCGTAGCTCCGCCACCCTGCCCAGTGTCGCACACCTCTCGTCGATCAGAGGGTCCCAGGTCTTAGTGGACCAGGTGTATAACTGCATTGTCAAGTAGGTAACAATTTTACTTAATCTATTCTACAGTTTCCATTCGAAACAGAGGCGTCACACCCCACATCATGCTGGGCCATTCAATTCAGTGGCGTTTGGCATTTGTGGAAAGCAGAGTGTTCTAGTGACTCGCTGCTATTACAGAGATACCAAATGCCCCCAGGCACTCAGGTCGTGCAGGGTGTTTACACGCTGCTGTACCAGGGTGTGAAAGATCTTTCGACTGCGTTAGTCGCCTTTACCTCCCTTCGTTCAGCGTCCTAGGGCAAAGCCCGCTGCTAGGCCACACCCAGCTTTCAATGCAGTCTCCAACCACTCAGGTCGTGCGGGGTGCTTACACACTGCTGTGCCAGGTGGAATAGGTTTCGTCATTTCACTATATCGCCCCTGCTTCACTCGACGCACTGGATATCGTTGAAGTACCGATACGAGCCTGCAGGCTTTCTACACGATTGGCCTAGTCACCATCGTATTCACCCCCTCCTCCACGCTGCTGCACGAGGTGTGATAGTTCTCATTGTTCCACTCTAGTGCTTGTTGCCTTTGCCTCTGCTTCGCCCGCCATCCTTCGCTAATACTAAATCTTATTAGGCTTGGTTTGCAATTGGGCTTCTCACTACCATCTCCCCCCTCCTCTTGTTATACGGCATTCCCGTTTGTGCATATGAGCCTTGACTCTGCCACATTGTCCCCCATTCCTGTTCCCAATGCTGTTCGTCTTCATCAAGGCTGGAAGATAAACCGTCAGGGCATTTTTCATATTCGTGCACTTGAACTACCCTCACAGGATGGCCCCCTACGTCCCTCCCACTTCCTTTCAGGACAGGAACGGATTCCGATCGTAGAGGAGGTAGTTAGCCCTGGTGTGGATCACTCACTGGATGGAACGTTTCAGGGGTGCAAGCTGGATTCACCGTACTCGATACATTATTACTACGCTGCATTCGAAGTATACATCATTCCATCCGAATGCCTCATTTCCTGCCCATGGCTTCAAAATGCCATTAACTCATGTCACCAGAATGACCCTGAAATTGCCCCTCTGCAATATCACCAATTTCCCCATGATGCACGACGGTACTTGCGGTGTTTTGTCCATCCCATGCCGCCACCTATCCTATCGCCCAAGCCTATACCGTTTACCTACTCTGACACCAAATCTGGGTGGACAGTTGGAAAGACATTGGGTGAAGTCTCCCTCAAGAGGGTGAGACCGTCGGAGTGGACCAAGTCGATGAAGAAAGCAACAAAGGGCACTAGCCAGGGCATTGCAGAATGTGTCTGCATGCAGCACTGGGAACAGCATCTCATACAGAATGTGGACCCCGTAACATCAGGACCAATCGGTCTGGTGCACGAGCTGGCTATCATGTTTAACGACATCCAATATCGCAACCGTTCCAAGCCCGCGGGGCCAACCTACCCTCCTGGAGCGGTTCGCCTCCTTTCCCTTTGCACTTTCACAGCGGATGGACATATCCGAGTGGGATTTCATGTGCCGTTTCGCTTTCCAGAGGACGACGATGGGGCCTCCTCTGAACCAGAAGAATTCCTCAGTGACAATGAGTGGGAGAGCGGAAGGTGGGGGGCCTCCACGTTAGCCTCGGAAAGGGATGATTCCGATGTGCCATCAGCGTCACACGCCTCTCAGCGTCGCAGGAGGTCCATTAAGAAGCGTTTGCTGCATCCACGAGTCCCCTCTCAGAGCACGAGCTTCACACATCAATGGCGTCAGCGAGGCCGTTCCTCACGTCAACGCTCACCTGCACGAAGAAGCAGATCACCAGAGCATGTACAAAGCTCTTACCATCCGCATGACCTGCGAGCGGTGGAGCAACATCCAGTTCATCAAAGCCCCTGGCCTCCGCGTCCAGTGTCTTCATCCGAGGAATTCTCTCATCATTCCTCTCGCTTCTCGGGCCATTCAGGATTGGGGGGCCTTAGACACCATCGTGCAGAGTCTCCACATGCACTTGAACACCATCGCCATCTTTCGTCTCCAGGCATGGAAGATGTCCGGTTCCACCAAGCCAGAATGCCATCAGGCCACACCTCCAACCCGACCCCCCTTAACTGGTCAGAAAACCTACACTCTCGTCCTCCTCCCCTGCCATCCTCCGATAAGCTGCTGTCAGGTGCGAGAGCACCTCGTTATCCCCCAGAACGGCATCGCCCTCGTTCACCTCCAGTTGGGGAAGATGTACAGTTCAACCTAGCCCATACCTCAGCCCCTTTCTCCCAATACACATCAGGATTCCCACCCTCTCGTCCACCCCTGCCATCCTCCTTTGAGCCACCGCCGAGACCAAGAGCACCAGCCTCAGATGTCGCATCGTTCACCTCAGTCGAACAGATCATGGCGCAGGAAGGGGGTACAATGTCCTTGCTGAAAGAAGCTATGATTATTCGAGGTATGCACAGTATATTACAGCGTTCTATTTGCCATTCTCACACTACGTGATGATATCGACAGGAGCCCCCCCTCTGCCCATTTGGCCCCTTTCCCCCACTCCCGAGGCTGCAGACCATGTTCGAAAATGGAGGGAAGGGCTATCTCGTAAGTGGTATACCGTTTTCATTTATCAGGCCATTCCAGTCTAACACGTAAGGTTACCTCAGAATCCGCTGTCAAGCGAGCTTACCGTCAGATGGCAATCCGCATCGTGGCAGTAAATACCCGTGATGTTTGTCCTTACAATGGAACATATGCTTCCTGGGTTGATGCCACCCCTCCGGCAAGAACAAGTGTCTTAAACACTTCTCTGAAGTATCGGGAGTTCGTGGACTTTTGCCAGAGACCAGTCAGCTTCGACCTGCTTCGTCCACACCTCGCGCTCATTGAGCGCCACCCCCCATTTCGTTATATCGAAGCACCGATCCTTAACATTGACTTGCAACGTTCTGCTGATAATCTGAATTGGCTCCCAACGTCTGAGTGGAGGGAACGGATCATGGGCACGCAGTCTGTGCTGAGTCAACTTCTTCACCGTGTCCAGAGCACCGTCTCTCATCTCTGCTGCACCGAGATCCTCCCCAAACATCGTGAAACCATGGCGATACTGAAGCCTGAATCGGAAGCCTATCTTCAGAAGCTTCTCCAAGCCCGAATGATTGCGCAGTCCGAGACTTATCACCATGAAACGGTTGGCGAGATTGAACGCCAGATCGGAGAGCTACAAGGGCATTTTCGCTACTGCCTCCTTATTTCCCTTGATGCATGTGCCATATTGGGTGGTAACGAGCTTCCGACCTGGCCGCTTCAGGAAGAGGCCATCGGGACCATCTTTGATGGTTCAGACGGCACCCGTACTGAGGTCCACGACTCCAGCCTTAGTGCCTCCGCCCAGGCATATGCTCTCACTCTGGAACGGTGGGGAGTTCCCCATTGGAGAGTGGAACATGGTGACAACCGCTTCGCCATCTTTCGATCATGTCCGCCCATCCTTGATTCGGTAGCAGAACATGCCCTTCAGCAGGAAATACGGAGCCGCGCTCACTCCAAGAATTTGCAAGGCGCTGCAAGGGGAGACATCACTATAGGATTTGACTTTGCTGTTACAGAAATCATTGCGCGGCCCCGTCCGCCGCAGCAAACCCTGCTCACAGCTCCATCAAATGATTTTTCTGCTCAGCTCTTTGTGATGGAGCAATGTCTCACAGCGCTTGTCCCTGAGGGGGTTCCTATCCCATTCAAGGACTTCTCTGCCAAGGTGAAGAGCGTGCTGCAAGGAGTCTGGGTAGACTTGAAATACAAGGAAGGCCTGCATTCTAGTGTGGCCTTGGAGGGAACAAAATGGAAGACCATGAGAGTCCCGTTCCCCATCGGCGCCCATGCTCCACTGAAGGCGGCGTTTGTCAGAATCCCTTTCTCATACTACCAACCTCATCATCCTCTTCCGCTGTCATTTCAATCCATACCTTGTATCGTCCCGCCTAGTGCTACTAAGGAGGGCCATCGTACCCCTGATGTGTGGCTAGGCACATCCATACGGCTGTCAGGTCCGGCAGTGGAGCTGCGCGATGATTTGGAGGCTGTCGGGCGGTGGGGCGTTCTTGCGTATCGAGAAGTACGTGACCGCACTGTGAACCAGGAAGTTGTTGGCCGGGCTGGTACGACTCACTGTCTTAACTTGCTCTGCAAGACACAGGAGGGAGCTCAAAGCCTCAAGCGATACCTCCAAGCAAGATACCCCGATGCTGTTCTCAAAGATATTGAAATGGAGGACTATATGCCAAGCAGGTACACCGGTGTCTATGAGCTTGGATATATCAGTGAGACCCTTTCTCGTGGGTTTGACAAGACCACAGTCATGACTCTCCTGGATCGTGCACCAGCCCCTCTCATCCCTCAAGGTCCAGACACCATGCCTAGTGAGATAGCCAAACTCTGGGCCCGGATCTACTCGCAGGACCTCTTTGAATACAATCGCTTCCAGATCATGACGACGACAACCAACTCAGGACGCATATTGTTCAACGTGATTGAGGTGACGTTCAGATCTGATGTGTGTGAAAAAATGTGCCTGCGTAGGCCCCTCGAGTTGAGTGAAGAGGAATATCTAGGTCTCCTTTGTTTCTGCCTCATCCTTTGTCACCTTCGCCGCTTCAAGCGTGCATTCCGCCAAAGGATCTACCCTGCAGAAGGATCTATCTACCCCCGTGTTGTTTGTTTCATTGCCGATTCTGCAAGGCACCTTTTTGAGGGCATCGAACTTCGAACAACGGAGATGTTGAAGAGGTCAGGAAACCCGCCTCAAGATGAGTTTGAGTCTATTCGCTGGCAGCCCAAAACTGGCCTCTTTGCACTTAAAGTGGCAGAGAGCCCTCCTGCTCCCCCAAACAGGCCGACTGTGGAAGAATTACACTCCCATTTCCAGTTGTAGATGCAGTGGCCGTCTGTGGCCGTTTCCTATGTATGCTAAAACCTGCAAGCTGCCCTACTCCCGTTACCTGTTGCTCAGCCCATGGGTTGGGTTCTATAACAGCGCGTTTATTGTAAATAACTTCGAAAATACAATCTATTACTCTGGCAACATGTAGGCCCACATATTGATAATGTCTTCCTCCTCGCCAGCCTCGATCTCATCAAGCAACTGTAACACCTGCATTGCAATGCCCCCGCCATCAGCACCCCTTTCGCAAAGCTCCTGTCCAGCAGTGTGAACCATTCTCCAGTGTTGCCCAATGTTCAAGACATTGGGAGGTGGCTCCTGCCTCTCAACATACTGGGCGATGATGTCAATCCTCACAAGGAGTTCAACATCTTCCGCCACTAGCGCCCACAAACGAAGGCCTGGAAGGATTCTCCGTGCGCTCCGCCACACTGAGTGGCATGCACACTTGAAGAAGGCATCAAAGGTAGGAACCTCACCACTCATGCTCATTGTTGAAGACGGTGCCTCTGATGGTTCACGAGCCGCTGCCCCTCCATTCACAGCAAGGTGTGTGCCTCCGTTATTTATGATCCTTGACACCTCTCGAACCCCAACAGGAGTACTAGCCACTGTCCCTTCGTTCACAGTGAGGTGCACGCTTCCAGTATTTATGATCTTTGGTGCCTCTTGAACTTTGACGGGAGTACTGTGCGGCGTTGGATGGATTAACCTAATAGGCGGGATGACCATTGGCGTAGGCAGCTCCATATTCGTTTTACTGGCCTGTGCTGTGAAGACATCGTTTTCCGGTTCGTCAGGGAGTTGCGGCCCACATTCATGCCAGGGGGCTTGATGTGCGGCCTGCGGAGATCCAGCTAGGTCTATCACCTCCATTTTTACTGGTGAGGAAGACGTGCTCAGTTCAGGCGAGTGTTTGGGTGGTGTTTCAGGCACTGTTCCCTCATCCTGTGGACCCGACGCCTCGCACTCAAGTAGGGCAGTCTTCCTTGCCTGTTTCTTGGCCCTAGGTGTCGCACGAGGATGTTTGGTTGAGGTGCGTGTACGCGTGGCTCTAGACCCCCTTTTGATTTGCTTAGGAGATGGGGTGGGTATTGTGCCGTCTCCAATTGAACCTCATTCCATAGACACAGTGGTAGGGTCTGGGGTGCTTCCCTTACGTTTGTGGGATGATGCCGGGATGATGGCCGTTTTCCCAACTGCTCTCCTTACTTCATTTTGAGGTAATGCATATTTACTGACGTTGCCGTTCCCATCCGGTGCATAGTGTAACACCTCACGCTTCAGGTACTCATCTGGTAAGCCCATACCCATCAGTCATGCCTTTTGAGTTTCATTGACATTCACCATACCATCTGTCATGTGTTCCACCCTTAAGGTCTGCACCGGATCCTCATGATCGAACTGTAACATGCACCGTGCAGTTTCGTGTGGGGTCCAATCACACGGAAGCCCTCTGTTTAGGTGTCGAACACCGCGATGCCAACCGGCAAAACGGAGACGGTGTTCAAGCAAGAACGGAAGTATGTTGACACCTCTCCAGTTGTGCCCAAGGTCCATTATGCCTGTCGCCTCCTCTACAAGTAGACATCACCAATGAGCAAAGCGGATAGTGCTGCAAAAGTAGGACATACGAATCATGGCTTTGAGCTTCCCAGCACAATCAGTGCGGCGAACGGTATGTGCCCCATATGCCCGGTCTATAGTGCTCAGGCCTTCCTTCATCTTCAATAAAGGTGTGTGATAATCCACGTCCTCTGCATCACACTCAACCTCTGATTTCGCAGTAGTGTTACCCAAATATCGGTCCAGATCATCACTGAAATGGACGCTTTGCTTCGCCTGCGTCACAATGGACTTCATGAGACCAGAGGCCCCAAACACCTCGCTGGTAGACGTTTTGGAATTGTTAAATGCTCCAAGATGATGAAGGAAGTCTCTGCAGCAATTTCAGCCTGTGCAGACTGCGAGGAGAAGTCACTCATACCTCTGTTTGATGGCATCAGGTTGATATGGGCTGAGGGGGATACAAGTAAGCCAACAGTACCCTTCTAAACATAAACCCGTACCTGAATGCCTTTATTCCATCGTAAAAGTTTCTCATCGCCAATGCGGCATCCTCTGCAAGGGGTAGGCCCATAGCTTTGACCATTTCCGCGATCATCGGAGAGCTAGTAAAAGCGATAGTCGAGTCTCGAGGGGAAAGTGTGTCGTCTGCTATGAATCCCACTACAGCCACACCAATGGGGTGAATGGTGCTGAGTGCAGCAAGCTACCGCAAAGCCTTAGTTGAACCAAATCTAGTAGTCCCTAGAATCCTGTCCACTGTACCTGAGCGGCGTACTTTCCAGTTACCTTCTGCAACAGATAGAGGCCTTCGTTGGGTTTAGCATCCCTTTCATCCTTTGACAAAACAATGTCTCCACAATGTATCAGGACTTTTTCGTAAAATGCATTCACCTCTGCCGCGCAATCGGGGTAGTGCTTCTCAACAGCTTCTTGGTGTGATTTACACAGCCTTGCAGCCTCTTGACTATCAATTCCAGCTGGGAAACAATTAGTCCCGAATATGGGCTGCAAGTATTACGGCTAGACTTACGGTGAAGCTTGAGCCATGCCTGCCAGGCTGTTTGGCCCGCTTCGGAAGGATTGTGTAATCGGAAACGTTTCATGACTTCTTGGGGTGACCTCTCCCTTTTCTTGGCATAGCCTGCGATGCAAGCTTCCAAAAAAACTGTGCAGTGGCTTCTAAGTGTTTTTAAACATTCCAATAGGTACAAATGTACCTTCGAGGCTCAAATCATCTGTGACGTGTCCGTTCTCTAGAATCTCACCAATATCATCAACTGTCTGAACAGATGAATGACCCCATATCTTCTGCACAATCTCCTTCAAAATGTTCTTCGGGGGGGCGAGGGGTTGAAATCGTGGTCTGTTTGCAATTGAAGTATGCTGCATAACTAGCTCTTTCAACTCCGCAAATGGACCCTCTGTAGCTCTGAGGAATTCATTGGCAGTGGGAGCTGTTGTCAAAAGGGTGAGGCCACTGGAAAAGTCGGCCTGAAGGGTGAGGATTGACGTGTCAAATGTGCTAGAAGACGCATTCTGCAAGGGGGAGGACATTCTGGTGATCACTTGTCTTAGCGGCTGCTAGGTCAAAATTGCATCCGATCCATCAAATTAATCAAGCTAAACAAACATAAAGGTAGCTGCCTGCCCCATTCAATACACCCTGTATACTGCAACATTGTAGACACAAACACCGAAAAAAGTATTTGCCATTCTGCCCATCCCTGCCCATTATGTGGGCCACATCCATCCGGAACCATCCTGTTACAAAAATGGGGCCGGAGGCGCCCATTTTCGTCCGTTCAAGGCGCAGGAAAGGGGAAAGGTTGGGGAATGGGGTTCATATGGTTATACAGATGTTATCACAGGCAGTTTAACATTAGTTGTAACAGATGTTAGCACAGCGGGTTTTTGGTTGTTTATTGATTGGATCAACTCAATTACTATACAAATCATGTGATACAGAACCCATAAGAGTCTAAAATGGGAAATTCCCATTTCCATAACACATCCAGTAGCCGATTTCCACCCCAGCTCCCCGTTTGACTTGCCTGGAGTGTTCAGTGCCCTGGGTAGAAGTTCTAGGTGGCACCCAGGAAATTTGGTAGGCGACGATCAAAGCCGACATTTGTATTCTGAGAATGTCAGGGATTCGATGAAAATATTCTGTGTGCACACAATATTGCTCCTGAGTCCTGCTCATGTGAGTTGATACAGGCCATCTGCCGTGGGGAACATCTTTCAATGAGCCAAACGGCGGGATCTGCGGAAGGCCTGCATGCGGTCAGCCTAAAGCGCGGTGGCAGTGCTACTGCTGTTTGACCACATTCATACCCCATCACTCATATATCACGCGACCACATGCATTCCCTCCAAACGGGACAATGCCGGCTGAATATGTTTGTCAGAAATCAGCTCGAAAATGATCAAATTTCGGGGATTTTATATTTTCAATACAGTTAGGATTGTATTGTAATATAGTACATCAGCAAATGGTCCGCGTTCAGTTTGGCCACTTCTGTTGGATATGTCCACCAGAAGTGGCCAAACTGCCCAAAGTGCCCAAAGCAAAATAAACCAGGTCCCTCCAATTCAATTTCAGGGCTAAACTCAATGGCTCCAAGCACAATTCCCACAGTTGTACGGCTCAAAACAATTAAGTTTGGTCCTGAAATTGAATTGGAGGGACCTGGTTTATTTCACTTTGGGTACTTTGGGCAGTTTGGCCACTTCTGGTGGATATGTCCACAAGAAGTGGCCAAACTGAATGTGGACCATTTGCTGATGTACGTTAGCGCTGCACTGCCATTCTGCGTTCCCCATTGGTGTTCATTGATGAAGACTGCAGCACTGATGAACCACATAGACATACTGCTTGGCTCTGGACCTCCACACATCAACTCAATACCAAACATACTACTCCAGAGGTGAAGCGCCACATCGCCCAACTCAGCAAGCACGCGGTTTACTGTCTCATACTCAAGGAATCCCCTTTGAGAAAGCTCTAAATCTCCTACAAGGTCACCTTGAGCTTGAGCCAGATCCGTGCCACCTCCATGAACTACAAAGAGTGTCAGGGCAATAGCCCCGAACCCCGAGTCACATGTAAATTAGACACATATAGTCACGTGGGTAAGCGGGAACCTCCGGGTAACTGCTTACACACCACCGTAAAATACACATACTTGTATCACTTACGGCCTTGTGTGCTGAGCTACCCAAAGACCTCACAAAGAGACATACCACCGCATCTTTGTCTTCCAGAGTACAGCCCGAAGCAGCGAGATTTCACGTATAAAAAGGTGGATATTTTCAACATTCTGAAGAGTTTGTTCCTTACAAGCAAAAGCCGGCTTTTGAACCCAATGAAGAACTACGTGCCGCATTTAGGCAGTATATGGGTCAGCATTATCAAGCGGCTATATCCCCACTCTCAGTGTCGAAAGAATATTCAGGAGCAAGCATACACAACAGCCACGTCCAATGACTTCAACTGTTCTATCTGAGCCCCCAGCTGACTTAGCCATTTGGCTTAGATGATTGTTAGAATAATGATTTTCTGTCCTAAAAGTGCTCAAGCACGGCAGCTTAGAATGGCAGTGCAGTGCTAACATACTATATTACAATACAATCCTAACTGTATTGAAAATATAAAATCCCCGAAATTTGATCATTTTCGAGCTGATTTCTGACAAACATATTGATACCCCATTCACTTGGAAATTGACAGATTCCCTCAAAAACGCAGTAATGAATATGGCTGGTTGAACTTTGGCCGATTGCATCGCATCAATCCCACCTGCTTGTGCCACACAATCAGCCATGCCAATCATAGCGACATCCCTCATGCAGGACTGACTCACATCGCTGTGATCTCCTCGTGTCTGTTGTACATCCCGATTCCACTTTGGCGTCTCGACTATACTTATTGGTGCTAATTGCTTTTTCCTTATCATTTGTTCATGCATGCCCCTCTGGCCACTATACTCCCATGTCCCACCCAAGGCTCGTCGTAAGTCATTCGGTTTTGCCGATTGTGAAGATGCTCACGATCTTCGGTTCCTTTTGGCAAACCAACACCTTCATCTTAACCTTGCTACCTACTGTCCCTCCAATCACTTCTTGTTATTGTACCTTGCATTAGGTCCGTGCTTAATCCAGAAGCTCTGGTTGATCCGAAGCTGCCACCATGCTATCCTATCAGAGCTCCCGTCCATCTGCACGCAGGCATGAAATTATTAAGACATCAACACTCATCAACGTCGGCTCGGCAGTTGCGGTGATGTATCATCTATGCAATGTACAATAATAGATCTGGGACTGGGCCAATCGCAACATAGCAGCTAATTTTGGAAGAATTTTGACTCATATGTCCCGATTTAATGTTGAGGCCCGATTGCAAACCACCAAGTAAATGTTGACCCATTTGACCACCTTCATCCCTGTGGGAACCAATTCAATTGTGGGGTGCATCAAAATGGGTACTCCCCCGTTATCATGAGAGTGTGCACCGTTTGATGCCCTCGACCTGTGCAACATATCGCTGTACTTAATCTCTATAATAATTCATTCTGAATTTGCTAAACAGGCTACCAGTTGATGGTGCTAACTCCCATCCACAAAACCCCTGCCACTCTAACCCTGATGCAATTGGGTGTCAGACAGGTATAGAACTTTTTCGCTGAGAGTTCACAACCAGAGTCAGGGATCGAATTGAACACCAGTCAGCAACATGTAGGTACAATGAATCGAGGTTTTTTACATCGGTGTAGATCATTGTCTTGTGCCCAACACTCAAAATGAGTCAACAGGACAATCCCGGCTGTTGCAATTTCGGGCCATTCATTTCGGGTCGCTACTGAATGGATTTACCCTGAAAATGAATACCTTGGGGCATCGAATTTTGCCACTCACAAGGATTTCTGCTGCAAAGTTTTTTCCAAGTGCCAGATCATTCCAGGCACCTACCCCCCTCCAGTACCATTTTGTAGCGCCAATCCCTCTTTGTGCCGATGTCGCAGGCCGAGGTCAAATGGTAGTTCCCACGGGTCAACCATTAAAATTCAGCAGCATTGACAATTTGGGAAAAACGTTTAGCTCATTCGCTGCCATTTTTGGACGATCACAAGACTGGCTGGATCATTTTTCCGAGTCGGGCACGCAGATTTTTTCTGTAAAATTGTTACGGATTCGGGTGATTTGGGGTGTTTAAACATATTTTGGGGGTGAACGTCAGGTCTCATGTTTTTGATCGATTTCATGATTTTCCGACATCACTTGCAAGCAGCTTGCACAGCAGCCTTCTCTAGTACAAGGCCAGGGAGCCTTCAGCTGTGTACTCTCCTGTGTTGTATGACTATGTAGGTCTTGTGATTGTCTTCATGTCATGCAGAGACTTCATGGTTATCTCAAGTCTTTTTCTATTTCAGGTTGTGAGTCAGATGGTGAAGCAGGGAATTTGGGGTTAAGGTTAAAACCTCAAAGAGCGAGGCTTGAGCCAATCAGGGGGGAGAAAGAGTCGTCTGGCTGGACCGAGATCAATATATTCAGTGTAGTGATTTGCATCCGGACCTCACGGACATCTCCGCAACCACCACCATGACTGTGAAGAGAGAGCCACCAGTGCCCCAACTGTGACAAAGTGGGCTGTTGTCTGTTACGCCTGTTGACATCGGCTTTAGAGCACCACGATGACACGGGCCCTCTTGCTGGGTGATGTTGCAAAGAGTTCAGGATACTCGATAGCATCTTTAACTTCTTTAATTTGCTCGTCAAGGTGTCAGGGCATACACCCTGACCTAGCCAATACCCGCATCCACACCCGCACTCGCACCCGCACCCGCGACCGCACCCGGTTGTTGCACTTCCCATGTGCACCCTGTGCCGGACGCTCAGTGCGGCCGGATGGCCCGGACCTCGGGCCTCGGGTCTCATGTGACTTCCGGATATCTCCGGAAGTTTTTGATGTATTGTGGCCACTGTGGGAAGATGGAAGTTAACTTCCTTCTCATCTCTGACCCACAGTAGGATTGTGCCCTGGATAGGGCTGGCCAGACTTGAGGCTGTGGGCCATAGGGGAGGGTCATGGGGACCCGGGAGTCTGTCAGGGCACACCCACCTGACCCGGCCCCACCTGGCCCCACTTCACCCAGTACCCCGCCACCCAGCCTTCTCCTACCTCCTCCCCCCTTCCTCTTTCTTTCTTTCTCCATTTCACTTCCTCTTCATTTATTTCACTTTCTCTTTATTTTCTCTTTATTCTACATGGACGACCTTTCCTTGTATCAATGTACCATTGACCCACCTGCAGCGTGCTCATGACATGCCCAGCCTGGGCACCCCAGGCGACCCCCACTATGTCCAGCTTGTGCATTCACAGCAGACGCCCTCAGGATCCCCCACAGGGACACCTGGGTGACTACAGCTGTATGCAAGGATGATGTGGCACCCATCATGTGACCCAAGCCGCATGTATATAAACATACCTGAAGTGGGAACCGAAGAAGCAGCCTCCTTTTCCACTTCAGGTAAGTAACATAGTATTCCCTTTAATAAAATAACACCCTTTTCCACTTCAGTCTAAGTGGCCAGGGACTGTCTCCTGAGCCGGGCCCGCCAGTACACACGCCCGCTCCACACCCCACGAGACTTCTAGTGTCGGGCATCTCACCCGGGCCTCCTCTTGTCAGGGACTGCGTGTCAGTTCACGATGATAAAGGTGTTCCTGAGAATCCTAGTCGTTGTTAACACTGAAGCACCACCTTCAGCGGAGATAGGGCTTATATACATGGATACCGCTATCCACTAGAGCGCGGCTACAAACGAGATAAGGAACAGCCGATAGAATGATGACATGAAAAGATAACTATTCATTCGGATAATCGTAAGCGAGGTGTGGGAAAGGGGTGACATGTGGACGGAAGATGGAAGTGGGATGCTAAGCGAAAGCTAAGCGAGATTACCTGCGTTCTTCGGATCTCTCCGGATCGTCTGATGGCAACTCCCTTCTGGCATAGGGGGTCAGGGTAGCCGGTTAGGCCATGCCCTGACACCTCTACCCCGGACGCGTCCCTGACAGAGTCATCCCCTGACACAAGGAGACCAATCATCTTGTATGTACTGTGGGGGGCTTTATCAACAGTGATGGAGGAAGCAAGTGGGTCAGCTTTGTTAGGGAGGATTTTGTGGATGGTGTATGAGCGGAGCGAAGAGCCCAGTACCTCAACTGTGTTGCACCCTGTTGACACTGAGTCCGCTCTTCTCTAGTTTGAGACTGCAGTAGCCCGTCCAGGGATTTGTGTTTGGCACTGGTTGTTAGAACTGGGCGAGGGCGGACGATTCCGGAGGGGAACCGGAGACTTAGCAAGGAGGGACCTTGGCCTCAGCAACTCAAGGGGAGCGCTGTGCCATTGCTGTTTGTCCATTTGGTCCTTAATTTCACAGTAGGCGAGCAGGAAGTCTCTAGGGGGCATTTCAGGTCGATTTTAGACTAAGCCTAAAACGAGTATGTACAAGCGCCAATATATATAATGGGGAGGGCGAAAGCATGAGGAAACAAAGGGGATCCGAATCGGAATGAAGGCATCTGAACGGGAACAAAGGGATGACAGAAGCGGAGCGGTACCGAAGGTCATAAGTGTCAGGGACCGGTCTGGGGTCGAGAGCGTCCGGGTATGAAGCGAGCACGTACGGTAACGGGTCCGGTGCAGGCAGATGTCCCTGAAGTGGGAATGGTGAGAAGAAGACTGCTTCTCTGGTTCCCACCCCAGGTATGTTTATATACATGGTGCTCAGGTCACATGAGAGTTGCCACGTTGTCCCCATGCACAGCCCGGCAGGTTAGTAGTCCATCGATCAAGGAAAGTCGTCCATGTAAATAGAAATAGAAAGAATAGAGAATGAGACAGAGAAGAAATAGGAGGAGGGGAAGTGGAGGGAGGAGGAGATAGGAAGGGGGAGAAGGGGGTAGCGGGTGGAGTGGAGCCGGGTGGAGCCAGGTGAGGTGGGTGTGCCCTGACAATAAGGCAGAACCTGTGGTACATCCGAAAGGAGGTAAGGAGGGTGAGGCCCAGAGGGGCAGGAGGATGAGGGGAAGTGGGGATGATAACTAACTGGCTAGAATGGAAGCAGCAGTCCAAATAGGGATGAGGGGAAAACATGAGAGATACATTACAAGCGGCAAAAGTGCCGAAGATGATCTGTGGAGCTCGGAGGTTGCGGAGCTTACGGAGGTTACAGAGGCGGGGTTGAAAGTCCGAGGAATATTGGCAATGGTGTTTACATAGTATGAGGTCACCAATGCAATGGACTAAGGCCAAGGTGGAGTCAAAGTCCGAGGTAGGAGCTATGACGGAGGCTCGGAGCAAAGGTACGAGCGGTGTCCGAGTATGAAGTATGGGACAGCGGTGGAAGGTTGTAACTTGGTGGGAGGTCGGCAGAAGAGGACCAGAGGGAAGAGAAAGGAGGAAGGATGTGGAGGAGAGGAAAGGTGTCAGGTCCGAAGGTGAGTATCGGAGTGGACAGGAGAAGAGTAGGAGGATGACGGAAGGGTGGAGGTGTGGTGGGGAGGAAGCAGAGGAGTGGGAGGTAGTGGTAGGGTGGCGAGAGGGGTGGTGTTCGGTCCGAGGTGGGTATCGGAGCGGACGGAGATAGGACAGGAGAGGGAAGGAGGTGTGGAGGTGGCATGGGAGGTGAGAGGAGGTGTGGTGCCAGGACCAAAGGTGAATATCAGAACAGACAGCAGTAGGGTAGGACTCCGGAGGTGGTGAAGGAGGAGGTCCGGGAGTCGGGTCGGGATCGGGTATGCACAGATATGACACTCGTGAGTGTCATTTTGTTTTCTCTATCTTTTGTCTCCATCTTTTTTCCTAACTCCCTGACTTAGTCTCGGCACAAGTGTCATTGTATATGACTCTTTCACGGACGGACGGGCTGTGGAGCAATAGCAATGCTTGCTCGCTTGCCTGGCATTGCTGCTTGATTGATGATGTGACAGAATCCAAGGGCTCGCCAACCTAGGCTTCCCTGTCGGGCTTGAACCCTTCGCCCCGACCGGGTTTAAACCAGGCTATGCCTGGGATAACTCATCGACGACAGGGCTCGGTTTCGTTTTTCTGGTCTCAAGTGCCCATTGTTTTTGGTTTTGTGATGTGATGAGGCCTATGAACCAGAATAAGTTCATCTCTCCGCCCCGGCAAGGTTCAAACCGGGCTTTCATTCTTTATGGCTCTGTGTGCCTCTTCATATACATCTGGGATTTTGCGAACGTGAGTGCCATGTCTTCATTGTTAGGTTGCTGTCCCACTGACCGTCTGACTGATGATCCCAGCTTCCAATCTGAGTCACTGTCCTGCATGGGTCTCCACATCCGCTGCATGAGTGTCAGGGCACACCCGCCTGACCCAGTTCCACCCGGGCCCACCTGGGCCCACCTCACCCGCTCCCCACTACCCATCCTTCCTCCTTCCTCCTTCCTCCCTCTTCCCCTTCTTCCCTTTCCTCCCTTTTCCCTCTTTCCTCTTTCTCCTTTATTTCATTCTCCCTTTCTGTTTATTCTTTCTATTTACTTCCCTTGTATCATTGTACTGTTGACCCATCTGGCTCAGACACCCTGGACGACTTCCTGCTATGCCTAGCACGCGCGCCTGCAGCGGATGCCCTCAGGATCCCCCATGGGGATACCCGGATGGCTGCAGCTCTCTCCGTAGATGACGTGGTACCCGTCATGTGACCCGAGCCGCATGTACATAAATGTACCTGAAGTGGGAACTGAAGAAGTAACCTTCTTCTCACGTTTTCCACTTCAGGTAAGTAGTGTAGTTCTTCCTTTTAATAACAATTCATGTTTTCCACTTCAGTCTAAGTGGCCAGGGACTACAGTCCCAGATCGGGCCTGTCAGTACACACACCCGCTTCGCTCCCTGAGAGGGTCCCTCTGCCAGGCGCTACATCCGGGCCCCCTCCACCCCGGATGCATCCCTGACAATGAGCGTATATCAATGGGGTTGTGTCCTATTGTTTGTTTTGTATCAAGTGGTACAATTGCATGGCATGATTTATTACATACAAATCATGCACACGTGCGCGGGTTTTGCCTTGTTGTTGAGGTCCAATCCGAGCATTTGCCTGGTGGAAAGTGTTGACTCCGATCTGTCGCTATGTCATTTATTCCAGTTCTCGACACTGCCAAGAGGCACCAATGCGTGAATGCCAATACAGCAGCCTTTGGGCAGCCTTCAAAGAAGAGGAAATCAAATCCTGTGGGAGAAGCACTTGATTGAGTGTTTTCTTCAGTGGGCTCGCATTCGGGTCTTGAACCCAAAGCTGCTGTGCAGAATGTTCAACGTGAAGCCAGTGCACCGGATGAAGCTTTTGCCGCATTTGTTCCACTTGATGTCGAGTAGAGAGACCCAACTCCGCCTCCAGAGCCCCTCATTGTTTGCTCAGCCTGCATCAATGCGCAGTCTATATGGAGCAAATGAGGATTTATTGTTCGAAGTTGGCAGCATGCAATTCAGCAATTCTAATGGGCCTCCTTTCCGAAGCATGCAATTGTGGCGAGTCTCATCACTCTATCAATGTTCTTGCCATATATTGGGACCGCTATGAGTCTGTCGACATGTTTGAGTGTCATCAGAGGCCGGTTGCAGATCAGCTTCTTGCTCGGGGATTGTTTCCGTGTGCACCGTGCAAACCGTCCCTGGCTTTCTCCTTAGAAATGCTGGAGTTTGCTTCACAATTTTTCGTTCACATGGCACCAAACAACCACGCATTTGTGGCTACCATTGAGGTGGTTCTTGCTGCCAATGGATTCCCATTTCAAACCGAAGATTCGTTGCAGCGCCGCTTTTCCAATGCACTTCTCCATTATCAAATACTCATCTGGGAAGTGGATGCAGAGGTCCAGCGTTTGGCTCGTGAGCCTTCAATTGGCCAATGCAGATGCTACTCGCCCTGCTAGGGAGGATGCCGATCCTACGGTATCTACTGCCAATGATGTGATCGACGACGATAATGTGCTAGTGTCAGGGGACGCACGTGCTTGTGCAGGATGCTCCGATAACCTAGTTGTGATTAAAGCCGGGGGAAAGGGATGTCCCCATCTTAGGGTCAGCTATATACATGTAGAGTCCGGCAATAAGGAAACCAAATGGATTGCCGATAGAATCACGTGATCATAGAATGTTCCAGAACAATGCCGGAGATGATCCGGGTCACCGGGGCTTAGGTAAGCGGAGTAGATGGGAATTACCGGCATACTTCCCACGCGCATATGTGCAGCCGGCATAGGGTCCAGGGTCATTACTGATCCCTGACAGCTAGGTGCTTTAAAATTAGATGAGACAACTGGACTTGGAGCACGGAAATATCTCAATGCTCGACACACAACCTCGATCCCTTCAGACACATCATCCGCTCACCCTCCCTGCTCATCTTCATCGCCCAAGACCCCAAGTGAATATCTACAGTCAAGATGTCCACTATGTTTTGGTGGAACCAACACTGTATCTCCTGAACTTCTTGCCCAATGCATCGTGCGTCTTGATGCTAATTTTCAACTGAAGCGTAAGTCTGACCGTGATATGCGCAATGGTGGAGATGGTTCCAAGGATCCACGATACCTTTTGCCTCATTCCATCATCTTGGAGCAGGCGTTTGTGGAACATTGGCGAGATATCATAGAGAAGGACCGTCCTCCAAAGCCTACTTGACCATCTCGCGTGAATAGATGCAGCGAGGCACTGCAAGATGGTGATGAAGATAGGGTTGAGCCCGGCCTCCCAGGCCCTAACTCGATGTATGATGCGTGTGGTCAATCTTTCATTGCCACTGATGGTGATTGAGTCAAGGCCTCCACTTGTATGTTTGATGACACTGGTGTCATGGCAATGCTCTGCCCCCATGATATTCCCTTATTTCTTGCAAATATCATCAGCAAAAAATTGTTATGCTCCTGAGTGCTCCGGAGTATCGAGAGCACTGGGAGAATCAGGAGGAGATTGGCCGGTCCAGGAACAGCCCATTTCCTCCAGAGTTGGCTAGGTACTCCAGGGCACTCCCAGGAGGGCCTGGAGCATTGCTTTGTGCACAAACATATCCAGTAAATACAATTTAAATGCTTCAAAGTGTATAGGGTGAGAAGCTTCTGGGAGCTCCTGGAGCATTTGAAAATGAAAAGGAAAAAAAAGAGGGAAGATCCCCCATGAATACCTCCTACCACAAGACTAACACAACAAGACACTGCTTAACATTTAGATCAAACACTATACTATATATCAAGGATACTGAGACTCACCAATACACAATCAAAATTTATGGCCTGATATATGATTAATCTGGCAACTTAATCACTTTCGGGCTGGCAGAATATGGGGGAGGGGGAAATGGGGGAGAATGAGGGGGGGAATGAGGGGGGGAATGAGGGGGGGAATGAGGGGGGGAATGAGGGGGGAATGAGGGGGGGATATAGAGGGAAATGAGGAAAATTTGAAAAATAGGGACTTCTAAAAAGTTGAAAAAAATAATTAGGGAAAAAATCAAAAAAATTCAGGAACTGTAGTGCCTTTGAAGTGCTTTCAGGATATATAATTATTTGCAAAATCGAGGAAGAAACGATGGAGAAAAATGGAAAATACTTTCGGAGACCCGAGAAATAATGAGAACTGAATTGATGGGAAAGTCTGAAAATTGAATAGGGAAGTGAGGGGAAGCCTTGTAGCATTGTTATTTTCTGCTGTTCTAATTTTTCCTGATTGTTCTTGGTCTCACTCCCAGCTGCTACTGGATACTCCTGGATACTCCTGGAAGCTCCTGGGAGGGTCCAGGAGCAGCTAATGGAAAATACTTTTGGAGACCCAAGAACTGAATTGATGGGAAAATCTGAAAATTGAATAGGAAAGTGAGGGGAAGCCTTGTAGCATTGTTATTTTCTGCTGTTCTGATTTTTCCCGATTCTTCTTGGTCTCATTCCCAGCTGCTCCTCAATACTCCAGGAAGCTCCTGAAAGCTCCTGGGAGGGTCCAGGAGCAGCTGGGAGTGAGACCAAGAACAATCAGGAAAAATCAGAACAGCAGAAAATAACAATGCTTACAAGGCTTCCCCTCACTTTCCTATTCAATTTTCAGACTTTCCCATCAATTCAGTTCTCATTATTTCTCGGGTCTCCGAAAGTATTTTCCATTTTTCTCCATCATTTCTTCCTCAATTTTGCAAATAATTATATGTCCTGAAAGCACTTTAAAGGCACTATAGTTCCTGAATTTTTTTTTGATTTTTCCCTAAATTTTTTTTTTCAACTTTTTAGAGACCAAAATTTTCCTCCCACTGCTCCTGGCACATTACATACTCCTCACCACTCCCAGCTGCTCCTGAACCCCCTCCCAGGAGAACACTATTGGCTCCAGGAGTGCCCAATCTGCTGTTTTGTCTCCCACATGCTCCAGCCACTCTTGATGCTCCGGAGCATAACGGACTTTTGCTGATGATTTGGACCCCAGGGGAGAAGCAGTTTTATGCATTTTCCCTCATAGCTGCACTTCTTCAGCACATCCCGTCATCATGGAAAGTTGGCATTCTCTATGATATTGGTTGCCAAATGGATCGTGCACTGAAGAAGTTGGATTTTGCGCCAGGCTGGCGATCCCGTCTCACCTGGGGGGTATCAATCTTCCATGCATATGGCCATCAGTACAATTGTCAGCTCTGGTATCACCCATGTAAGAGTGTGATCTGGGGCCTTACGGATGGCGAAGGTTGCGAGCGATTTTGGAGTGAGCTTCGACGATTAATCCCTGGGCTACGTGTAACTGGTTATCATCGGCGTCTCTTCATCCTTGATACGCAAGTGGGCTATATTGACACGCAGAAACTTCCGGCCCTTGCCAGGTGGTTGCGTACTCACACAGCAAAGGCTCATGGGAAGGAGAGAGATGCGCTGGAAAAACTTGGGAACCGTTCCGTTGCGCAACTGCTCGAGTATTTCGCTGAGCAGCGAGTACATCACTCCAAAAACCTCAGCAGCGTCAATCAAAGTCAGCTGCTCGGAAACACATTGATCGCATCCTCAGTCTCACCGCCACTGTAGAGTTGCAGAAGAAAATTCACGAGGATTTGAAGAGGTGTGGCAGCGCTCTTCAGGATCCAACTGATTCTGTTGCTCGTGCGCTGCTGGCGGATTGGCAGGAGAGGTTTGACCAGAGTGAGCAGAAGTTAGTCCAATTGGAAAGACAAATTGCAGACCAGACTGTGGCACTCGAATCAACACGACCGGTTGATTTCTCAGAGCTCCAGAAGCTCAAGAATGACAAGTGGACCAATGAGCTTCTGAACCTTCGTGTTATCAAAGATCAGCTCCTTCATAAGCTGCGAGCCAGGAAAGCCGAGTTGAGTGTGCTGGATCGATCTCACGCTGTTCGAGCTCTGGATCAGAGTATGAAGGCCCATGTCGAGAAAGCGGTGAATAAGCGTTCAAGCGGCATTGAATCCACCCTCTCGAAATACAACAATAAGTTGAAGGAGCTCGGTGCACTGCGGAATGCGGATCCCGCCCTTCGCGAAGTCTATCTTCCACCAGTTATTCCTCGTCGTAACCTATACAAGTTAGATGTTGACCAGCCCATTTGGGAGAACTCTGACCGGCCAGAAGCTTCGGGAGATGCTCTTCCCTGTTGGCTTACTGATGTGGAGGTCAAGGAGGGGATTCGTTATGCGCAGCAGTTGAAAAATAGCCACCAAGAGCTTGCAAGGTGCAAAGCGGAGCACGCTAACTTGCGTCAGTGGTTTTTACAAGAATATCAGGCGTATGAAACCCTACTGAAAGCCGGGACGTCTCTGTCGTGTTCTTTGCCTATGAGAAGCTGTTGTTTCTCCAGGGACTTCTGAAGCGCTGGCGTATCGACAGTGATAGTGTCTCAATTGCTGAGGATGCTCCGGACTGGCCAACTCTCACTCCCCCCCCTCTTCCCTGAGCCGTTAGACCTGACTTAAGGGGTTTGATTCGCATGGATGGTCGGGAGGATAGTCAGGAGGATCTCATCAGTGATGATGACCAAGAAGAGTTGGAGCTTGAAGTCGATAATTACAATGATTCCGACCTGATTCTTGCTGCAGCAGAGGCGATAGCTTCTGATGGCTTCATGGATTTTCATCACGATCTGGAACATGCTGCTGAACATGTCTGAGCACGCAGTGCTTAATGTCTTTCTTTCTTCCCAGTCCATCATCGTCAATAAATACATTTTTATCAGAGTGTTTGGTTACTAGAGATCTTCGGGGAGGTGGTGGGGACATGAATGAGTTGTTGAAGGACCAGGTTGTTTCCAGGCTTCGTGCACGGAAGGTTGATCAGTCTGGATTGTGCATATCGCTTGGTGGGTGGAGCTGTATTGGTGTTGACCTGTGTTCTAATCGCCAGAAAATATCGTAGATCAAAAACTCAGGACCATGTGGAGAGTGATAAAGCACCGTGAGCGCCTGTCAAGTGTCACAGCGAGAAGCGGGATGAGATGCTGCGCATGCAGTTGGCAGGCAACACCCCTGTGAATGTAGCTGTGTCACCAGAGCTCAGTGCGCAAGCCATTTTCAACCTTGACATTGAGGCACCTAGGTAGATCCCAGTGTGGTGGTGAGCCTCCAAGCAGAAATCGAATATCCTTCCGTCGAAATCAGCTTGAGGCTTCTTCGTGGACTTTGTCCATTTCTTATTATGCTATTCTAATTTGGCCGCTCCCAGTCATTGTCAACGACTCCCTCCCTCGCATCGTTGTTGTTTACATCGAAGATGCTCCATTGTTGTCGTCGTTGAAGCTGTCGAGCACTCACGATTGACTGCATGATTCGAAGTCCGACACTCGTTTTAATAACACAAATCTGGACCTGCACATGCCATACATCGTATGCTACACTTCCTTTTCATTTTATATTTTCCTCATCGCAAACTGTCCCCACTTCCCCATGCAGCTCAGACACCTACATCCAATGGGTCGCCTAGATGACATTATTCCCTCCAGCGCCCATAAGGTGTCACATCGGCAAGCATGGGTGGCTGATCACAATTCCTTCCTTGCACAAAACGAACTTGGCCTATCGCATTTGGTCGTTTACTGCGATGGTTCTCGATTCGTTCAAAATGGAGTGACCACAGCAGGATACAGCGTTGTGGTGTATCTGAACAGCCATGAGATTGTCGTGACAGGTGGTTCAATGGATGGGCAGGTGAGATCGGGTGATGCTGAGATGAGGGCGCTTCAGGCTGCAGCAGAGGAGGTGAAGTGTTTGTGTGAGAACATGACTTTAATGCCAAGTGTTGAACATGTTCACATTTTCTCTGATCATGTCGGGTCTATCGAGACTGTCGTTTGTTGGGGAGTGGGACGGAATCAATACTCATGAGAGTTCAAGAGAAGTATAGGGTGTTTGTTGCGCCACAGAATTAACATCGATGTCATGGTCAAATGGTGCCCTGCCCATTCTGGTGTCATTGGTAACGAGCGGGCAGATAAAGTCGCGAGGTTTTTTTCTTTATAATGTCACCATGTAAATACTTTTTTGTTTTAATCTTACAATCCTGTCTAGTTCTTGTGTTACCATTGGCAGGATGACATGATGATGTAACACATTGAATTTGGACATATGTATGTTTCTATTCAAACATCAATATTTCGCTAAGTTGCGCCCAGGATGTCCTAGGACGTCCTGAGAAGTCTATGTGTATACAATTAAGTTCCGCATGGTGATCCCAGGACATCCCAGGACATCCTAGGACATCCTGGGGACGTCCTGGTGAATGGATCAGGCCGTTTCTTTCTTCACCAGGATGTCCAGGACATCCACTAGTAAATACCCCCTTTTAGGCCCCATTCGAAGGCCAAACGGCCCCCTCTATAGGCTGTCATTAGGTGGCTGACTAGGCTGGTGAAAGCTGTGTGCACTGGCCTGGAAGAATTTTGCTGTCGCCGCACTCCTCGTAAACACTACACATAGTACAGCCTCTGCCCTCGATACACTGTAGTGCGATTTGTTGTGGATTCCGATGTTCCTTCAAAGTGTTTGCATGCTGGAAATGGTGGCATGACCCTGGTGATGACAAATCTTAATACCCTGCAGCTTCATGGTGTTGTGGCAGTGCAGCTGTCCCACCATAGTGCACATGAAGGGGACTTTCTATACATGATGTGTGGGTAGTCTGGTTGGTATCGTCTGGTGTCAGTGATCCTTGGAAATACAAGGGGTGTCGGCAATTCCTGGTTGAACGGTATGTGGGGGAAGGGGGGTTCATGGACAGCATGAAGATGTCACTTCTTGTATTTACACAATGGCAGTATACTGTACCCACATGACCAACTACCGGTGCATCCCAAGCGTGACACAAAATTTCTGCCAGGTGATGAACTGGGAGCTCATTTTGATGCGTGACAACCCGACCAGCAGGCGTGTGACCTTGACTGTGGGAGCATGATCCAGAAGGAAACCAACATGCTGATGGTCATGTTTGGTAGCCAGAATAAATGTAATTAATTTGAAAATGAGTTTCCCTTTAAAATTTCTTTGCACCTAAGTATGGATGGTTTTGCTCTTGCACGACATATCTGCTCTCATACAGATGAGCCCATCCTGTACAGCGGTATCCCGAATACACTTATCAGGTCCTACTTTCCAGACACACCCTGTCCGTCGCTGAGTTTCTCCAGTTCAAACTCCCATCATTCCAAACAAATCTACAAATTACATCCACATCTCTCAGTAATCACCCACCCTCTGTCACAGCATTAGCTGAAAGTGACCTCCGCAACATGCCCTGCCCATCCTGCCCTATCATAAAGAAAATCATTTCTGAATATGATCACAATGACGATAACCCACCTTGTTCAGTAAAAATCGGCATCTGCTATGTCCCTGTCAGCATTGTCTGAATTTGGGAAGTCCTATTTCAGATTCACAATGTCCAGAGGATGTGGAGTGTTGGAATTTGCACGTGGTCTTTTAGGGAAACCTAAAAGTTGGACATACTGGGAATCGAACTCCAGTCTTCTGGATTGCAAACTCAGTGTGCACAGCCATTACACCATATGCCCTGTTAGGCTGAGGTGGTTATTTCAACACACCCCCTTCACATTGGATTGACCATGTGATCCACATGTGACCCAAACCACCAGGGTTCCAACAACCCATGAGTCGTCACCCCCTGAATTTATATTCAGGCTGGACTTACTGCTAATCTCCTACATTGTCAGGGCAATAGCCCCGAACCCCGAGCCACATGTAATTAGATACATATAGTCACGTGGGTAAGTGGGAACCTCCGGGTAACTGCTTACACACTACCGTAAAATACACACTTGTATCACTTATGGCTCTGTGTGCTGAGCTACCCTGAGACCTCACACTTTTTTAAGTGTATTGTCATATCCGTGCATACCCGACCCCGACCCGACTTCCGGACCTCCACCCTCTTCACCTCTGGAGTCATAACCTACTGCTGCCGTTCCGATACTCACCTTCGGTCCTGGCAACACACCTCCTCCTTACCTCCCCGACCCTATCTCCATCCGCTCCGATACTCACCTTCGGACCTGACTACTCTCCTTTCCGCCACTCCTTCTTCCTTACCTTTCCCCTCTCTTCTCCCTCTGTTACTCCTCCGCCACCCTTCCACCAAGTTACGACCTTCCACCGCTGTCCCGTACTTCGCACTCGGACACCGCTCGTACCTTGCTCCGAGCCTCCATCATAGTCCCTACCTCGGACTTTGACTCCACCTCGGTCTTAGTCCATTGCATTGGTGACCTCATACTACGTAAACACCATTGCCAATATCCCTCGGACTTTCAACCCCGCCTCCGTAACCTCCATAAGCTCCGCAACCTCCGAGCTTCGCGGATCGCCTTCGGCACTCTCGCCACTTGTAATGTATTTCTCGCGTTTTCCCCTCATCCCTATTTGGACTACTGCTTCTTCCTATTCTAGCCAGTTAGTCATCATCCCCACTTCCCCACTTCCCCTCATCCTCCTGCCCCTCTGGGCCTTGCCCTCCCTACCTCCTTTCGGACGTATCACAGGTCCTGCCTTATGACCTTCGGTACCGCTCCGCTCCCTCTACCCTTTGTTCCCGTTCGGACGTCTTCATTCCGATTCGGTTACCCTTTGTTTCCCTTGTGCTTTTGCCCCTTCCATTATAAATATTGGCGCTTGTACATACTCGTTTTGGTTTAGTCCGAAATCGACCTGAAATGCCCCCTAGAGACTTCCTGCTCACCTACTGTGAAATTAAGGACCAAATGGACAAACAGCAATGGCACAGCACTCCACTTGAGTCGCTGAGGCCAAGGTCCCTCCACGCTAAGTCTCCGATTCCACTCCGGAGTCGTCTGTTTCCGCCCGGTTCTAACATGTATGAGGTGTGTTTTACAACACAACCCACAAAAACTAATCAACCTTAACATGTGCCAATGGCGCCTAAACACACCTGCAAGGGCAAGGTCGCATCTGCAGCGACGCTAAAAAGAAACGAGCAGTTCATTAAGAAACTGCAATCTCCCATCATGGGAGATTCAAATCAACAGCCATCATCAGACAACGACGAGGATCAACATGATCCGGCAATAGCAACCACCTCAGGGCTGGCCCCTGAAGGTTTTAGAAACTTACGTGGAGTAAGTGTGGGGCCTAATACCCCTAGAACTCCACGATATACCAATCTAACCCAAGCTGGGGAAGATCCTTCACCTCCTCATGAGGTGATTGACTTGCACGATGTAGGAGAAATAACGGTCACACTATGGAAACCCATTATGGAAATATGCCAGATAAATCACAAAACCTCATACGACAAGTAGATATGAGAAAATAGAAGGGCCTGAATTTTAATGAGTTTTTACGAATTTTTACGAATTATTATGACTATACGCAATAAATTGAAAGAAAGAAAATTAGCAAAAATATTTCAAGCTTAGCATCAACGAGACGGAATTCTCGGGGGAATTTATAGCAAATATTAAACAAAGAATTAGGACAATCGACCAAGATTTGACTATAAAAACAATCAGAGAACCTCCACGGAAGCTACTTTCCCACATCTGCACACGTAGCCAAGGATGGAAGTACCACGGAACAAGGATTCCTCAAAAACTAATGCAAAATTCAAAGTCGTGTCTATAATAGGAAATGTAGATGTCCACCAAAC